GGAGATTGAAGAGAAATGGAATGAATTCTTTTCATCTGTCTTCACAGAGAAGGATGCAGAACAGATACCTGCTCCTGAACTGGTATATTCAGGAAGGGAGTCTGAGGAATTAAGGCAGACAGGAGTAATGAAAGATGACATTCTCAACTCTATTGACAAACTGAATGTTAAGAAATCCCTAGGCCCAGATGGTATCCATCCTAGAGTTCTTAAAGAGCTAAAAAATGAAATAGCTGACCTTCTTACAAAAACAAGTAATGAGTCCCTAAGAACAGCCTCTGTACCAGAGGACTGGAGAATGGCCAATCTAACACCAATTTTTAAAAAGGGATACAAAGGAGATCTGGGAAATTACAGACCAGTTATCTAACATCGATTCTGGGTACATTGGTTGAACACATTATTAAAGACAGAACCAACACATAGAGGGACAAGTCCTGCTGAAAAAGAATCAACATGGCTTCTGCAAAGGTAAGTCCTGTCTCACTAATTGATTCAAATTCTCTGAGAATGCCAGTAAGAATGAGGACAGGAGCATTCTGATAACTATTATTTACTTAAACTTCCAAACAGCTTTTGACAAAGTCCTTCACCAAAGATTCCTGAGCAATCTTAGCAGTCTAGAATAAGGAGGAGGGGAATCCGCTAATAAATCTATAACTGGTTGAAAAACAGAAAGTGTGGGAATACATGCTAATTTCTCCCAATGGACGGATGTAAACAGTGGGGTCTCACAGTGTTCTGCATTAGGAGCAATGCCATTCAACCTAGTTATAAATGATATGGAATTAGGAGTAAGCAATGAAGTGGTCAAGTTTGGTAATGATACCAAACTATTCAGTGTGGTTAAAAACAATAGAAATTGTGAGGATCTCCAAAGGGATTTCCGCAAGCTGTGAGAATGGGCATCAAAATGACAAATACTGTTCAGTGTAAGCAAATCTACTGTGATGTATTTTGGTGCAAAGAAATCCAAACTTCAAGTATGGGCTGATGAGATCTGAACTAACAGGGATTGATCAAGAGAGGGATCTTGGGGCAGCGGGATGGAACAGCTTGATGAAAATGTCAATTCAGGGAGCGACTGCTGTGAAAAAGGCAAACACTGTGTTAGGCATAATTAGGAAAGGAATTGAAAATAAAACTGTCAAGATTGTACTTCACTTATACACATATTTGGTGTGACCACACTCAGAATACTGTGCACAGTTCTGGTTGCTGAAACTGAAAAAAAGTGCATTATTGAGTTGGAAAAAAGTGCAGAGAGGGGCAACGAAAATGATTGGAAGGGTTGGAACAGTTCACCTGTGAACAGCAGTTTCAATGGTTATACTGGGGTTGTTTAGCTTAGCAAAAGGTAAGGAGAAACAAGAAGGCGTTTAAAATTACGTGTGGTGTGGAGAAAGTGAAAAGGGAGACTTGTTCTCCTTCACTCTTAATAGTAGAACCTGAGGTCAACCCATAAAGCTAATTGGTGGAAGATTCAGGTCAGATAAAAGGAAATACTTCCTCACATTGCACCTAGGTAAACTGTGGAATTCTCTGCACAGGGAGCAGTGATGGCCAGCAAGCTGGATTGCTTTAAAAGGGGGTTGGACAAATTCACGAGTGCAGGGGGAGGAAGGTTATCAGCGGCTGCTAGCCTTGCTGTGTGGTACTTCCATTACCACAAGCAGTGTGTCTGTGTATACCAGCTGTTGAGGAGCCTGGGCAAGCGGAACACTTGTCTCCATCCCATTTGATGGAGACTGTGTACAGCTGCTTTGCCCCTGTGTGAACAGAGCACTGGACTGGGTGGACCACTGGCCTGATCCAGCCTGGCTTTTCTTGTGCCCACGGGTGGGCAGGGCCAAGGGGGAAAGGGTGAGGCCAAAACCCCCCAAGCACACCAGCAGAATTTATCCGTAAAGATGTGGCTGCCAGTCCCTAAGCCTTAGGGGAAGAATTTCAGTCTGTTAGAATAAGGAGAACCTGAAGAGATGTCCAGAAGCTCTGGTTAAAAGGGGGCACGGTGAGGGAAAGGGGGCAGGGTCATCTATGGAACCCTGCAGGGCCAAGTTTGTCTTTTATCCTGGACTTTCTGCACCACTTGAGTAGACAACACTAGATTAGATGGACAAATAGTTATAAGGGGAGCTTCCCATGTTCCTTTGTTCCTCAAGGAAGCGAAGCTCAAGGAACCAAGGTTGCCTTTAGATGCCAGGAAGCACTTCCTGGCAGTTAGGACCCCGAGGGTGTGGAATGGGCTTCCACGGGAGGTGGTTGAGGTCTCATCGGTGCAGGTGTTCAAAGATAGGCTGGACATGCACATGGTGGGCATGTTGTGAGCAGAGCTGTTTGGAGCCAGGGGTCAGACTAGATGGCCTGGGAGACCCCTTCTGGCTTGCTCTGTTTCTAGGGTGTGTGGATCAAAGGACACAGGTGGTGGGGAGGAAGAGGGGAGAGAACATGTTTAGGAGCTAAGCACACAATGTTTCACTAACAGTGCTCTGGTTATCTTTTTGAGACCAGAGGCAAGCAGGGGGTGAGCAAATTGCTTGCCAAACGCAGGGAAAGAAGTCTGTTTAACCTACCCCAAAATCAAATAAGGGACTAGAGGAAACAGAGTAGGGAGGCACAGAAGATCAAGGAGGAGAAGCGTGCTTGAACAGGCGAAGCCCTCTGAGCAGCACTGCACCGCCCCTCTGCCATATCTAAGTTGCATGGCGAGCCATTGCTCACATTGGCCACTCTGTGACTGTCACAGGCATTCTTATTCAGGAAATCGTCGTGTATAAAGTTGCTCTCAGGTACCCCTAAGCTGGACTTTTTTGAGTGAACACAAGCCTAGGTCATTTGGAAAATCATAGAAACAGAGCAAGTCTGAAGGGGTCTCCCGGGCCATCTAGTCTGACCCCCGGCTCCGCTCACAACATACCTACCAAAACATCTTAAGCCTGGGGCTGGCCTTTTAAATTTTTCTGCACGTAGCTACTGCTTCACCCACCGCATGAGCTGACAACATCTGTGTATTCCCCGGGCCAATTCAAGGCACTGTTTGTAACCTGTAAAGCCCTACAGGACTTGAGGCCATGATACTCAACCTGAATTGACTCAGACACAATGATTTGTATCTAAGGCCTTCTTCAAAGTGTGGCCTTCTTCCAAGAAAAAAAAGGCTTCTCGGGGGTTGTACCAAATTATGGGATGTTCTGCCTGCTGAGACCCACCTGGTGCTACCATTGTCGTCTTTTCAGTGGCAGGTTAAGAATGCCTTCCACTCCCAGGTATTTAATGGCACATGCCGGGAGATCTCAAATGTTTTAACCTTTCTAGTTTTTATTGAAATTCTTATAGCTGTTTAAACCTTTAAAAATGTTGCACAGTGAATGTAATGCTGTATTCGATTGCACTTGTGTTAGGTATTTTCATTATTGTTCTTGCTTTATGAAATGCTGTGAATTTCCCAGACAGCTTCAGCTATTAAGTGGCATAGACGGGAAATAAATCATATTTCTCACCCTCGGGACACATACAGCCTATGGAAGTTGCCCATCCAGCCCATGGAGGCCTGGCCATCCTCGACAGACCCTCCCTACAGCCATCTCCAAGGTCATCCCTCCAGCCCGCAGAGGAAGCAGGGAGGGGAAATCCATTCTTAACTCTGTCCTATTGTCTTATTATTCATTCCTGCACTATCAGCACCTTGTGCTTTTGGAAATTGGTTCTTGTAAGGAACTATTCAAAGTGGCCGACTATTTGGGGCTGAAGCCTGCACTAGCCCCACAAACCTTGGGGGGGATATGGAAAAGGTGGGCGCCACAGCACATACACAAGAGGGGCTGTGCACAGCTCCATGCGATGTCATTATCCCCACCATTTTCACTGTGCTGTGAGCTAAAGTTGTTCTGCTAGCCTGGAGGCACTAGGCGCATTGCTTGCCACATACTGCTGGTGATGCAAAAATAGCTGTGCGTAATCTGGCCGTGCCATAATAAAACAATGAGAGGTATGGAATTGCATTAGTAACTCAGTTATTGCTCCCCTATTTGGCTCTGCCCTTTCCGAACGCTGCTGAGTTTAAGCTGGAAGGAACGCTGGCTCCCCCTGGTGGCTGTCCTTGGTCTACCTCATATAGAGCCGGCGTTAGCAGGAATCGCATAGATTTCACTTTTTCCCTTTCCCTGGGTTGTGCGGTGGCCCTTTCAATGAGAAAGAATTCACCTGCTGAAGCACCTTCTCTCAGCCGGTGGACCCCACCCAGGAAACCGTGGAAGTAATAGCAAAGTCACAGGGTCATGTTGTGTAACTGAAGCCCAGGACACTGGAGAATTTAAAGGCTTATATGAACAAGGACCATCAGGAAAAGTTAATTGTTCTTGTGCTTAAGTCCTTAACTGCAGCTACTGCAATATGCTGGAAATAACTAATGCCAAAGAAAAGTCCAGAGGTTATCAGGGAATGAATACTAGGCATGAATCATCAGTTCAGTGATGCATTAAAAGGCGCACCCTTGGATGCATTATACTGAGACAGCATTTTCCTGGGTTGACAGCATTTTGGGATGGGGTGGGGGTGGGGCTCCGCTCACGATTCTAGGCATCTGTTTTATGTAATGTGCTTTCGCTGCTTCAAAATAACATTTTGATAGTATCATCCTGTAAGATGTCTAATTTTATGGCAGTAATTGTATGGCTTTACATAACACAAACAAGCTTGTCAGCACTAGGCAATCTCCTTCTCCTTGGAAACGCCTGCCAAGTGCTGCTGCTGTGCGCAAGCTCCATTTATGTCAACGGAGTTGTGTGCCAGGCCCCCAGGCCAGCCACCCCAAGATGAATGGATGTCACTCGGCAATGACTTGTGGGGAGGAGCACCCTGAGACTGCTGGCGATGCCCTCTGGTAAGGGACCACTGGCCACCCCCTCCTTTCGCTTGCTTTTCCATCCCAGGGGTCAGTAGCGAATGCCATGTCCACACCAAATGTGAGAAATATTAATATACGGGAAGATCAGTTTCTCAGTTTTTTAAAAACTCTTTAATCTTCAGAGATACATTTTCTAAACATTCAGGTAGCAATGATTTAACAATCATTTTGTCACGTGAAATCAATCCATCATAGCGAGGGAGGAAAGTTAGCTATCGATTTTCCTTGTGTCAACACACTTTGGCTGCAGTCCACACGCCAATTAAAATGGAGTATTTAGATATAAGCTGATTTATTCCCATTGGTTTCAATGGAATGGAAATGGATTAACGCCAAGTGCTCCGGCTCAGCTGATTCATGAATCAGACTACCCTGCACATAAAGCCCAGCAAGGACCCTGCTCGGGCGAGGGTAGCTGGCTCCCAGCCACTTCCGAGCTGGATTTGCAGCCGAACTGCAGCAGGGTGTTTGGAAGCAGCTGTTCTTTGCTAGTGAGAAATATGTCTCATTTGGACTGGGGCTCAGTCAGGCATGTCCAGCTTTGGATGGGGAGCACAAGGTCAGATGACATGAGTGGCAGCAGAATCTCCTTGCCCCTTTGCTGAGGTGACACAATGAGAACCCGGCCTCACTTCTGGAGCTGCAGGATCACGGAGGAGCCAGTCTTTGTGCTGCTTCTCAGAGGCGGCTTGCTTGGAGCCTCAAGCCTTGCTTGCCAAAAGCAAGGTGCCCTGCCCGGCACAGCTGGGGGCTTTCAGAAAGGGATGCCGACATGTGCGGAGCATTCTCAGCCAGTGCAACCCCTCTTCCTAGCTTCACCAGCAGCTCAAGAGTGGGCTGCCGCACAGGATTCAGGCTCCCCACTCATTCCCAGCTTTGCTCTCCTTCTTGCAGCGAGGTTCCATTCCCCAACTAGTCCACGGATGCAGCTGTCTCCAGAGCCTTTGCACAACTCCACTGTGAAGAGTAACATGGCCTAAGGAATTGCTAAATGGTGGATCAAGCTGGCACTGGACTGGCAACAAGAGCAGCGCTAATGTCCTTATGGCATGTTGTTGTTTGACTGCAGATCACTGCCCTGCTCTGGCTCTGTGCCACGCCTTGGGGATGAGGAGCATTGGAAAGGCTCTCGAGAACCAGCTCCAGAGACAGTACACAGCAGAGCGGCTTCCAGATGCGGGCACCCAGCTGGCAGAGCACCGAGTCTGCAAACTGGAGGAGTCCCTCTTTCTGACCCAAAGCAGCTACCTGGTCCTCCTGGGTCGCAGGTTCTTGAAATCTTCCACGGCTGTTCTGGCAGCATTGCACCCTGCTGCTCCCATCACACCTCCTCCTGGAGAGAAAATGCAGGTGGTGGTGAGGGGGCGGGGGAGATCCGGGCAGCTCCGTGGCTCCCACAGTCAGGAATCCTGTGGATGGCAAAGCTCTTGCAGGGGTTGGCCAGTGGGAGACAAGCTTTATTTTTCTCTCTTTGGTTCAAAGAGGCTCACTAACTAGCAGAGTAGGACAACAGCGGGACTTCACATGACAAACCCACAGAGGAGAGGCAGCATTTTCTTTTAATTCCCTTTTTGCCTTGCCCTAAGGATCGGTGGGTATGGTGCACTAATCGCCTCATGTAGGGAAGATCCACAACCTAGCCTCAGGCCAACTTAAGCTGCAAAAAGTAGTTGTGGGGAAGGGGGTGGAGATAGCTTTGGACCAGAATTGTGCAACACAGGGAAGGAAATTAACACGGTCTCTCTCCACAGCAAGCCCAATGAAAATTGCCTCCCAAAGCTGCCATCTTTCCCTGGGGCAAAGGACAGTCCTGGGGATGCATTTTTGGTAGCAACGTCAGTACTGGAGGAAATGTTAGCACTCCTCCCTGCACATCGTGGCTGCAATCCTGAACGGAGGGTCCTGCAGCTGCTGTTGCAACCCACCCACCTCGCCCACACTTTACTCTTACCATCTCGCTTTACTCTTAGCTGCAAGCTGTGCTTTATTACGAATGCTCACACTCACACACACTAGTCGTGTTTCATTTATGGAAGGGTGACAGGAAATCCTATCCAATCAGCACTTGTAGGACAGAATCAGGGTAAGAGTTCAGGGTAAGGGCTCTCAGTTCTGTGGCGCTGAGCACCCTGGGAATGCTGTGCTTGGGAATGAGAACCTTAATGGGGGCAAGAGAGGGGGTTCTGCTTCTCTCTCCAGAGCAGGGCCTGTAAATCAACGTGCAGGCTGCTACATCCAGCCCGACTGCTTAGGCAAGTTTAGACCAGGAGGCCTGCGCAGACACAAGGCCCTTCCTTGCGGTCCTCCCCAAGAAGCCTCTCCCTTCAGGGTCTGGTTTTCTCCCCTTGTTCTTGTAACATGTCCTATTTGTTGTATAACTTTGTTTTTGTTGTAAGCCGCCCTGAGGCTTTGTTGCGATGGGGGTGGCATAAAAACGTTTTAAATAAATACAAATAAATAAATTTAACCTCGCGTCGCCCCACCCAGGCACATACCAGGATGAGCACCGCTTCCGCAGAGATACAGGCCTTGGATTGGAGACCGGTAGCTGGAGGAGGAAGGCGCTGGCCGGGCAAAGTAGAGCTGATCTAAAGACATTGCCCCGTGAAATATGTTCTGAAAAACAAAGGCAAGATCAGATCTCTGGAAAGGCAGGGCTGCTAAGCCCAGTGCAGAGCCAGGAAAGTTGGACAGGCGGAAGACTGGGGCACAGCAGAAACATTGCAGGTACTACATTCATCTGCATCATCTGTGCTTCAAGGCACAGTGAGCGCAGCACGGACTGCAGCGCAGTCACAATACCATTTACTGGCAAAGAAAGGAAAAAAAGAGGCGAAACATCACTGCATGGTGACTTGTTAAATCTTTCTGCATGAAGCTTTTGTGAGATTGCAGCATAAAGACTCAGCCAGGCAGGATGTTGAGTCAGGGGAGTTTCTGGGAAGCGAAGCAATTCTCAAAAAGTACATACCCCGCCAGGTAGGCCAAAAATCCGCTCAAGGTCTGGAGGTGTTAGGACATCCCTGCCAATGACAGAGGCCTTGAATCCAGGTGCATAGGCTTCAACGCAATCAAATACTATAGGGAAAAGAGATATCGTCGGTCACACAGGGAAAAAGAGATTAGCCACTCAGCTCAAGGCAGATTAAACATCTTATCCAGGACAGTCTTTCCCAGATGAGCCCTCCAGATGTGCTGGATTGTAACTCTTGTCAAAAGGATGATGCTGTCTAACAGCAGAAGATACCAGACTGGAGAAGACTAATCGATGATGCCCCAGCCTCTGGCTTTCAGACTGGCTGGAGCACCCAACTGGAATTCGAGTTCTCAAGAGCTACAGAGACTTAAACACTGGAAGACAGCATGGTTAAAGACCTTGACCTTGGCCGCCAGTCTCTACCCATCTGAAACAGGCTGATGGAAGTCCATGCCTAAATACAGTAGACTTGCACTGGACAGTTTCTTCAAGTTTTTTTTAAAAAACGGGGTAAACAGAAACAAATACTTGTGAACAGTACAGGAGAAAGAAGAACCAGTATATTCTAACCTGAAAACAAATTTGTTCTGAATTTTCCCTGATGAAAAACCATTATAAATGAAAAGGTCTGAAATACTCTGAAATAATAAGTAACTGTTCTCATAAGCCATTCTGTGTGAGATTTCTAATCCTGGTGGACTTTGGGGTTTCTCATTTTGTATTAGAGAAGTAAGGTTTATCGTTCTCTAAAAGAGCTGAGGAATTGGTTTGTGTGTATTGCCTCTTCTCAGACAGTAGCAGAATGTGTAAATTAGATGAGAAACATGACCCCAAGGACACAGGAGCCCAGGACAACTTTCCTGGAGGCAGGGGACGCTCCCCTCTTCTTGGCGCATGGCCCTGTAATTCCCGCTGGCCCTCAGCCGACTGGCCATACCTCGGTCAGCGTAGCCCTCGCGCTCCCGGTCATCCCACGGCTTCCCTGCCGCCAACGTGTAGGGGGTATACTGGGTGAAGAGAGAGACCACATGGCAGCCTGGGGGAGCCAGTGTAGGATCCAGGGCAGATGGAATACACAGTTCGATCATGGGCCTGAAATGACAGAAAGGGGGCAAGCTGCAAGCCTTTCAGCCGATCGTTCAGAAGAATCCCTGGTGCCGTCACACTTAATCCAGCACCAAACATTTGTTGGGCACCGAACCTCGTCTGGCGATAGTCCTGCTGGCATCCAGGAACAGAAGGAGACCTAAGTGGGACAGGCACGACGCTGAGCAGATGGACACAAGCTTGGGAATGACTTTTAAAAAAGACCTAAAGCATGTAGAACAGGGCCAGGCAAGTTGAGGTCCTTTAGATACTTTTGCCTCCAGTTAGTGACTCAGTTGGTTCGGGCTGATGGGAGTTGCAGTCCAAACCATGAAAGAGAGTGCTGAAGAGACCTGCTATAGCCTCAGGATGCAATAATATATGCCTTTACTTGGGAATAAGTCCTTCAGAATTCAGTGGAATCTAATTTTGAACAAACAGGCATAGAAGAGGACCATTAATTTCCTTTCTGTTTGATGCCCATTGTAACAGGTTGAGTGTCCAGCTGAATTACACAGAGGATTATAAATGAGACTGTGCACTTAAAATACTGAGTAAATGACACTGTGTTCAAACTCCGGCAAAACTCCTCCTTATATCATGGCAGGGTCCTGAGACTAGGAGCTATGCCAAAGTGAGGCTTCCGTTAGCAACCTGGGCTTCTGTCCTGGGACTCCTCTGCACTCCCCCCCACCCCTTTATAGCTGGTCCGTATCCGAGTTTCAGGGACAGTGACAGACTGTGAGCCAACGCAGTGTTGGTAAACACAGCTGCAGCCTGGGATTTGCCCAGTCCTTCGTCAGATTTAGCATGCTTCCCCAACCTGGTGCCACGCTGGCTGGGGATAACCAGAGCTGCACTTTGTCATCTGGACAGCCATCTGAGTCGGATGGTGTGACTTGGCGTCCCGGAACAGCAGCGGGATGGACACGATAATCTCCATGGCCCCTCCCAACTCTACTATTCTATGGTGCTATGACCTCCTGGGGCAAGAGGCTGAGGAAGCCTCATGCAGGGGAAGCATGGCTGCAAAGCTACAGAAAAGCAACTCAGCAGAACCATGAGAAACATGCTCTGTTGGCAGATTTGGAGATCAGGCAAGAGGGCCGTGCATCAGATTCGAGTCAGCGCCATTCCCCGCAGAGCTGTTCTCAATCTTGGCCTCAGGCGGGGCAGATTCCAAAGCAACCCTTGCGTTGCCCACTCAGCCACTGCAGTCTCACCTGTCTTCTGGTTTTCCATTTGTGCACCACTTGTGCGCCTGGGGAGGGGGAAAAGCAGCCTTCTACCTTTTCAATACATAAAATAAATACCTGCTGGATGGCTTCCCAGAGCAGGCGTCTTCAAAGGCCTGGTGCAAGGTATGCATCTCTTCACAATTGAGGTGGATGGAGCACTGATGGTGGGGCGAGGGGTGGCCATCAGGGGCATTTGGGGCTGCTAGGAAACTGGGCAACCGATCCACAGCCACTGCAGACACAGACAGCAGAGGGCATCGCATAAAGCACAGTCCGTCGGCTTGCCCACTTGCTTCATAACCTTCATGTCACTGTCTCCTCCACACTTTTCAGCAGGCGGCATACAATTTATGAGAATATATGTGGAGGCAAGAGCAGACTTTCAGTATTATTTTATGGCCAAGCAGTTTAATCACGCGGATGCGTGAATAAGCTGTAGCGGTAAGAAAAAAAGAGGGAAATTGGCTGGATGTCTGTGGGACACGGCACATGCTTCAGCCCTCAGCCCCCGTCATTAAGCAAGCAGTCTATGGAGGGTGGGGCCAGACTTGTTTCCTGTCACTTCTTCTAGGGAAAGTCTACACAAATGAGCATGGGGAAAACAGGGAAGTAATGTGAAAAGGTAACCCTACTAAATTAAGGGAAGAAACCCTTAAGGCCTAACTGGCACTATCCAGGCTTTACTGGCATTTTTAATTTTACTAAACTTTTTTTTCTATTTGTTTTTTACATGCACACACATAAAAAACACATATGTAACATCTGGTATGCCATGCCAACCTGAGAGTTCTACTCTTAAAGGCAGCCTAGAAATAATTTTAACTATATATCTTGAACTCACTGAACCCTAACACTCTCTCGTTGGACTTAAGGTTGCATTTACACAACCAATAAGGACAGAGATAGCTGTGTTGGTCCATAAAAGTTGGGGTGAGGAAATACAAAGAAAATCCACAGTACTCTTCTAGGGCCAAGCAAAAAGTTGCAAAGTGATGACCAAGGTTTTGAGTTCCTCAAAACTCTTCATCAGGCTGGTGCAAAAAGCAGCACATGGGAGAAAGGATAAATGAAAAAGTAACACAAGCCTGTATTTTGTACCATGCAGCTTGATGAAGACTCCTGGAGAACCCAGAAGCATGCTGGCTATTTTCTGATAATCTGCTTGGTCCTAATAAAGATATTGCGCAGTGATGGATTTTGTAATTTATGTTATCTTGCACCATGAAATCCCTTTAAATATATTTATTAGCAGTGATCCTGCTCCCTCTGCTGGCCACACATAATGCCTGCATTTGCATGATTGGGAAGGAAGAGACACAGCAGCTTCCCTTCCCGGCTCTGCATTGCCACATTTCCATGATCACCCACACCAGGTGTGGGTTGTTGTGTTGTCTGGACCTGGTGGAAAGAGCCGGCAGGGGTGGCTTCCAAACCACCCCGCTGCCTTATAACAAGCCACGGGCTGTGTGGTGGTGGAATTCACCCCTGCTGCCCACCTTTCTGGGTTCTGACGCCACAACCTGTGCTGGGTGCAGTTAATTAAGGAAATGAGCCATTGCACAACCATCCCATGTGCAGGGCAGAGAATGGAACACACCATCACTTTTTTCCTTCCCTGATCGTGCAAACCTGGCTAATGCCTGATTGGAAATGTCTGTTCCACATCTGCTGCATTTGGATGAGCTTTTATCAGATTTTCAAGTACTTCCTTGTATAACTGCTTGCTCTTCCCCCAGCCATTGAACTAAAGCAAATGGTGCACCAAAAATAACTTTAAAATGTGCTATTTTAACTTATTCAAGGTGAGCACAAACATCGCTTTCTTCCCCCGTGTAGTGTGGGGATGGGGAACCTCCAGCCCACAGGATGGATATGGTCCAGGGGGTTGCCTCTCTCCTAGCAGGGAAAATCTTTTGTCCCTGATAAGCAGATGAACAAATATACAAACTTTTCCAGGGCCTGGGGAGGAAGCTGCTGAGTTATTCAGTTTGGCCTACTTTTGAGAAAACATTCAGAGGTTCAGTATTACAGGAACACTATCTAACGTTTCACTGGGGGATTCACTCCAGCTTTTATCAGAGTAGACAGGCAGAAACTGTCTGCTGCTTACATCTGAGCAGACTTAAAACCAATAATCATTCAGCCACACACCTTGGCCTTCGTCTACTCCCACAGTTGGAATGCAACACCCTCCCCTGACCTCTCCCAAATTAAAATCCAGCTCTCTGGCTGAAGAAGATTCCTCATTCTTAATACAGAGACTCTCCCTTGGCCTGCTGCACCATGGAAAAGGACATGCCACCAGGAACCTTTGCATGAAAGCTTCTGGCCTCCGTGCAATATTCACCATTGATCTTGGTGACCGGAGAGCGTGTGTCAAATTGTGAGATTCTCTGGATAAACTCCAATGGCAGTTGCTCCTAAAGAGAAGAGTCACATGTACAGAATGAATGAACCCCAGGAAATCAATTTATCTTTGTATTCTATACCATTGTCTGTAATAAAATTCCTGACCATGTACACATACATGCACACACACACACGGCTACTGGCAATCACACCCCACTTTCTTGCAAGAACATGCTTTCTTTGAGTGCCAGGCTGGTATATGAAACTCAGACCACTATAGATTTGGATGGAGAGGCAGGCAAACCAGCCCTGGTACTCACAGATGCTGCAACTGCAGTGCTGGATAGATATGAAGAGAGCTGCAAGCCACACATCTGGAGGGCCACAATATGCCCACCCCTGCTCTGAACACCCCGCTCCTCGGTAGGGGAAGGAAAGTATAATGGTGACATCTGGAATTAGGTTACCCGTTTCCATGCTATGCCATGTTCACCTGAGGAGTTAATTCTAGAAAGGTGAGCTGTGGAGATGCATTGGACAGCACCAAGCAGCTCTTTACTTCAGTTCCATCTTGGAGGCAAACACCTTGCACCTTCCTATCAGGACTCAGAAGAATCTGGGCAACCGCCTGCAGAATTGAGCAGAGGGATAAGCAGACCAATGTAGCTTCACACAGGGACCCTGTAGAAAACACCCGCGCACCCGCCCCACCTTGACAGGACAGGAGTCGTGGCAGGCGGCACTCCTGTGCCAGCCTCTCCTGCAAAGGCACCCGGTGATGCCAACGGCATGGAGTATCATCAGCATGGCACTGGGCCCGTGGTGAGAGCGCATCACAGAACAGGAGACTGTGGGGTCCCTCTCTTCCCTTCCAAGCAAATGCACACACTGCTCCAGAAGCAGCGGTGTAGTGATCAATTTGAAAGTACAGACCTTCGTCATAAGACCTTCCGTAGCCAAGCCCCCAAGGAGAAAGTTGCCGTTGCATTTATCTACATCAACAAAGTGGTTCTAGTCACTTGCGTCTTTGTGAGAGACAAGACCTTGGTCAAGCTAAAGGGTCTTAATTGCTTATTCAGGATGAAGCCATAATAAAGTACCTCACTGAATTGTTTTTGAGAAAATTCATTTCTCCTTGCTACAGTGAGGATTTCTGTTAAGCGCAGAAGTCACCGGGAATGAGGAGCAGGGGGGCAGAAGATGTCAGTGTTTCTGCTCATGAAAACATGCCGGCGCCATGCTCCTTCAAGGCCTGGTTTTGCGACTCCACTGGACAGGACTGCTCGTTTCCCCCCAATTCTTTCCTTCCATGCCAGCATGCCTTCCCCTGCGACACATCGAGGGCAAGACCAAGCCTGGAACCCCTTGCAGCAAACTGCCCGCCTGCCTGAGGAAGCACCCACCTTCTCAGTGAAGATCTCAGCCCCGAGCGCAGTCGCGGCACAGGCCAGCGCTTGGGAAAGAGCACCCATGCCACCGGCCACGTAGCCCCAGGCCCCCTGGCGCCCCTCCAGCTCGCCCATCACGTGGTGCAGCAGCACATACCTGGAAGAAGGCCGAGCGTTAGGGGCTCGGTGCCCACGGCACATGCAGAAGGCTGACCCGTTTGAAGTGCGGGCACGTGTTGCGACTGCCTTCACACTCAAGCCTCCAAGCAGAGCCCACCACTGCAGGCAGCCTCACTATGGTTTAGGCAGAGCAGAAGGGCCTGGGCAGGCTTGGCTTCCTTTCAGACTTCTTCGCCTTCTTATATCTATTTATGGAGAGCTCTGCTATGCATGATGCTTCCTCCCTCTCAAACACACATTACTATTTATGACAGCATTTAATACAGTATTTAATAGCCCCTGCTTACAATCACTAAGGGCCTGCAAAAGATTAAAAGCAATATGAAAACAAGATGCTGTTATCCTTTGCAAACAGCCCAACAACCTCTCTTTATACCCAGCAATGCCCACGCGTAGACTGACCGTAATTCCAGATACTCAAGACTTTGGGCCAATACACAGAGGCAGGAGGGACTGGTGCATGATGAGGAGTGCAAGCAAAGGTCCCTGAGTCCTTACCCACTGCCTGGCGTGTGCGGACCAGCCATGGCACCAATAACTGCATCTGTTGCCAACGTAGCTTTCAAGGGCTCAGACTCAAACCAGAAATTCAAGATCTGCAGCAAAAGGAATGTAGAACAGGGTCTGCATAGTATGCCTGAAAGAACCCAGCCATCCAATCCCGCTTCCTCAAACTCACAGGGAAAGCCGTGCACATTTCTAAGCCGATGAAAAGTGCCCTGTTTACAGATGTCTTTATTATTATACTGATATATGGTCCAAGAGCTGAAGCTCTCTGGATGATTTACAAAGAATAAAACCTTAATATGTATTATAAAAACAATATATACATAAACACAGAACACAAAACACAGAGAGAGGCACAGATGTGTCTGAACACACTGTAAGCAATAAAGAAACCCAAGGTTTTGTTCCAAGTTTTTCTATATTTTTAAATGGAAGTTTCACATTTTCCATAACTTATGTGGGATTGGCTGCTGTAGGGCTGTGGGGATGGCATGGCATTTTTCACTAAGATGGGAGCAGAAACAAGGGAAGGTGGCAGTGAGGTTTTCCCACTGGGTTATTCAGGAGCACTCACCTTGGAAATCGGTGCTGTGAGGACTTCATAATATTGGGGGAACTGTTTTCCTAGAGCAAAGCCTGGCAAGAAGAAAAGGTGTGGTTCAAACATAGCTTGGGAAAGCAAAGTGCTCCTGTCGGTCCTCCTATTCCCCACTGCCCTACAGAGACCCAGGACCTGAGAAAAGTTTTCACTAGGGGAGCATGGTCTCTTACCCTATCCAAGTAAGCTGCCACACAAAGGCCAAAAAGATGAACTATATCAGAAGAGTCCTGCTGATCAGACCAAGCCTGCCCCAAAAGAAAGCAACTCTTCTGGGGCTAAGAGCTTATTTGGCAATTTGGGTATTTGTTGTGGGCACCATCACAAAATGGCTTCAGCAGCAAGCGTGAGAAAGAACATATAACTTGCCCCAAATACATGTATTATTTTAAATTCTTACCTATAGCTGGGAAGAGGTGAAATAAGTTTGTTTGTCTATTTAATTGATTTCTATACCACCCAACAGCCAAAGCTCTTTGAGCAGTTCAAAGGAGCTGGGAATCAGCTCCCACCACTGTAGAATTCTCCGTGTTTTAGGCAGGTCACTTGTCTCTTGTTATGCCTCCCATGGCTGGAATGTTGTGATGACCCCCAGCAGACTTTCTCAAACTATCCAATGAATCCACAGCCCAGGAAGGTTTGCCCACTTCTGTCTTGGAGTGACAAGGGACTGATGGTAAGTTGATTGCAGAGAATGAAGCCCCAGTTACAAAGTCTCCAATGCACATGCTTCATCATTAGATCAGACACACACAACAGCTGCTGAAAATAATTCTCAGCCCAACCTACTTCACAGGGCTGTTGTTGCAAGTATAAAACAGAGTTATGTAAACCTTGGGTTTTTCACAAGAGGAATAAAAGCAGAATATAAATGTAACATAATCATAGTAATTGCCTCACAAATAGCCAATCACAGACCACATGTCTGCAGCTGAAGCCCATTGTGAGTAGAGCTAGAAAGCCTAAAGTGGGGTCACTTCTTTTCTTTATGCCACCCCCTTTTTTCCTACTCTCCCTCTTCTGTCCTACCCCTGGGCTGTCAAGGAATTAAGCCAAGGGTCACAAGTTGCCCACTGCAGATTTAAATCCAATGCGATTCTGAGCAGCTTGGCCTGGCTTCCCACTCATCCCGGCACCATACCGGCACGAAACAGTTTCTGCAGATCTCGCAAAGCCCTGAACCGCTGAAGCAGGGAGCCCTGGCTGAGCAGAGCCATGTCCACAGGGCAGGTATCAAGCAGAGGGTCTATGGCTGACACCAAGCGGCTCATGAATGCCTCATATTTGGGAAAGGCCTGCAAAGGAAGAGGGAGGGGAAATCGGTTTGATGCTATCCTATCAGCTCTGACTGCAGACTCTCCCAAGACAGCACCAGTATCTAAAGGAAGCTGTTCTCAAGACCCACATCCCTGGCAGTCATCATCCCCATAAGTCTTTGGGTATAGCTTCCTGTTTGTACCTTCCATTATTCATTCTGCCCTTTCCCAGCTCGGTTCTAAGGTAGCTTCCCAACAATACCTGGGCATCCTTTACAGAGAATTGAGCAATCTGGCTCTGTGTCTCAGCCAAGTTGTTCCCCAGCAACAGAGAGCGGGGGGCTTTGCCATCCTGGCCTTCCTCCAGCAATGGGGTGAAGGAGTAAGGGTCACGGAGAAGCACTTTTAAGCCATGTTTCTGCAAGACAAAAGACAACATAGCCTCTAAGCGAAGGGTTAGACTTGCATATACCCTTCTCAGTTTTCCTGGTATAAACCTTGTCAAAAGTATTTTGTGCAAACTGACCACATAATGACCCTATTCTAAAATTAAAGGATGAAAAGTTCTCTTTTTCAGAACTGGTGGAAATTGTTGTGAACTATCAGAGAGCTTTGGCTATTGGGCATTACAGCATAGAAATAAACAAATGAAGTTACAAAGTCTGCCATCAGCAAACAAATGCTGCAATCTAAAACATATTCATGTAGGATTCAGCTCCACTGAATAGAGTAAGACTTACTTCTGAGTAAACTAAAATCCCCATGCATTTCATTTTTCCCTAAACAAAATCCCTCAGTTTTGAGTCTCTTACCTGCTAGTCTCAGATTTTAAGACTTAGTCTCCTTGAGAAATGAGATACTTATCAAAACAGACCACTGTGCCTGATTTTCTGGCTTGTAGGTCCTGACTCTTAACAAGAAAAAGCACAGTGACAGGAGACTGATGTGGTCCCTACTGAATAAGTTATCCTAGAGCACTGGGAAGAGGAGAGAGTGTGCAGGGATGGAATTTGCCAGGGCCTTATCAGGTGCTAGAAGAAATGGCAACCAAGGCTGTGAGGAACCAGGTGGGATCCCAGCAATTCCAAATGCCTCTGCCTACCACCCTCCGCTGGCCATACCTTTAACTCAAGCTCTGTGTAAATCTGAGGTCTCAGCAAACTGAGCAAGTAAGAAGCTCTGGAGAAGTGAAAACCTGCAGAAGAGGAGATGTTAGGAGCATCAAAAAGCAGATACCCAAAGCAGGGGACAGGGAGACAGTAAATGGGAGATACAGGTCTTACCTGGGATAATCTCTTCTGTCACTGCTGCACCACCAACAAGGTGTCTTCTCTCGAGCACTGCTGTTTTCAACCCCCCCTTCTGCAGGTAGGCAGCCTGTGGATGGAGCAGGTATCATCTCAGCCCCAAGCAACCCCTCGCTGGCTTCTCTTCTGGGGCTGCTGTTGGGAAACTTGTTAGCCATGAAAGCAGGTACTTCCCAATAAAGAAGTAATCCCCCAAATGACAAGCCCTACGGACAAGCAACACCTTCCAAGCTGAACTAAAACTTGGGTGCTACCCTCAGTACTCACAGCCACCAGTCCGTTGTGTCCTGAAAAGAGACAGATATAGGATAAGAACCCATTTCTTGTCATCTTCCTTTCTGTGCATGCAGCATGCATATGCACACAGATATGCATATTTTCCACTGGTGCAGCCACAAGCCATATATTTGTTCAAGCACAGCACTCCCTAAAGAAAAAAACAAAAACCTACCTCCTGCAGCCTGATTCGGTAAAGGTTAACAGCCAAGCATGTCCTATTGTGTTCGGTGCGCTTACTCTCCAGGAAGCGGGCACAGGATTCAAGTCACAGTCTCCCTCCCGCCTTTCAATCCTTGCATGGAAGTCAAGTTTCCATCCTTTGCAAGGCAGTCAACCAGCTCATCTAACACTCCAGCCCCGTATAGCGTCATCGGGCCCTCACTCAAGTTTCTTAATCTTCTTTACCTAGCACAGTAGCAACATGGTCGCTTGCCAACCCTTCCCAGACACCTGCCTGAACACTGGATGATCTTCATGCCCGGCCCACCTCCGACCCAGGCGTGCCCCCCCAACGCTTCACGCACGCGACACCCACCTGCTCCGATCACAACCGCGTCATACTCCCGCTTGAGGGAGACTCCAGAGCCCGAGTGGGCTGCCCTGCAGCTCCTCGAGAGCAGAGGAACACCAGCTGAGCCCAGCCACCACCCATGCCTGGCTGCCATCTTAGGCTGGACTTGGCAGTTTGATTAGCACTTTCACCAGTCCCTGAGAGAGGGGACGTGGGGCGGGCGCTGCGAGTTTTCAGAAGAGGAGGAGTCGAGGGAGGAGGAACTTGGAGGGAGCCGCCCAGAATAGAAATCCCCGCTCCACAGCAGGGCAGCGCGGGGAGCAGCGGGCACGGGGCCTCAGGTTATTTACCCTGTTCCCTGGAACAGGTTTAGTACATCACGCAAGACATGCTGCTGTCTGAGAACCGCAACTGGGGCTTCACCACGCGGTGGTGGGTCTTAGTATGCAAGGCCATCCAACTTAGAGGCAGAAAATCCCACAGGTGCCTCTCCCTAGTGCTGGCACTGAAAAAGCAACACGGTATAAGTACGGTTCGCTGCCCTCCAGCCCTAAATCGGCTGTCGGAGGTGCCCAGCTCTCAGCCGCTTTCCAGTACTCCTCGCGGTGCGTGAATGTACGAATCCTGCACGGGCAGGCTCCATACAGAAATATAGGAGAGAGGAGCAAGGAAAACTCCCGCCGGACGCAGCGCGCGGCGCCCTTCTCCGTAGCGTTAACGGAGCAGGGCTGGCCAGTAGATTTCCATACTGCTTCGGAGGGCAGCTTTATTGGGCAAAACCACTTGCGACAGCAGATGAGCGCTGCTCCAGTATCTGGCTATAGGCCAGAGGCGAGCTGCCTCGATTGGTTTTTACCTGGGGCCAGGCCTACAACCTGTTTTCACTGGCGGCAAAGATCAGCTCGAGACTTGTGGAAGACTAGTGCCCACCGAAATGGTAAATGGTGCCTGGGCTGAATGGCTGAATGCTCCGGAGAGGACTTAGTTGTTGCTGCCGCCCTCCAAAAGAAAACCTGTCATGGAGAAAGCTACTCTGATTAGGCTGATCGATCTCCCTGGCCAGTTGCTGAGGAACATGAGCGAGAAAGTGCTGTTGCTTTCAGGTTCTACTTGCAGGCGTCCAGAAGGCACCTGGTTTGCTACTGTGCAAACAAAATGCTGCACTTCTGGTCTGATGCAACACAGCTCTTCTTTGGCTGATTTTTTATGTTTTGTTTCAGGTAGGGAAAAGTAGTTCCTCTTTGAGATCCTATGCAAACCCTGTTAGTGGGGCTCTAATAACTGCCTTTGGACTTGCAACTTTAAACTAATGGGGAATATTTGTAGATTTGGTTTTAAATTTGAAAGGGAGAAATTAGTTTTGAATTGGTATGTTAACATAAGACGTTTTTGTTACAAAATGCACCTAAAGAAGCCCATGTGTGTTAAATATATATTGATTACTTTTGCACTACTGATTGTTTCATTTTTGATTTGATGTGGCTGTACTATTACATTTATTGACTGAAATGGTACTTCTTCACTGCTTTGTTGCTGTGAGCTTTTTGCGCTTAAGTATGTTGTTGGCGTCCAAGCTCAAACCAAAATTATGCAAGCCCTCACCTGTAGCCAAAAGCGATGCAGGTCATGCAGAAACAGATGGGAGGTCTGGAAAGCTTCCGAGCACTGCAGGATGTTTCCTCTTAATAACTACAGCCTGCACTTGCGATCAGCTGAGATTAGGATGGTTTTCAGTCAAGCGTTTAGAGAAATAATTAACTTCCATTATCTTCTGGTATAATTATTTCCTCAATGAGGGTGATATATCCACTGTCTTTCCACATGCGCCACTCCCCCAGCCTCAGCTGCTGACTGGTGCTCCCAGATCCTGAAGAACATTTCAGCTTTGCAGTAATGAGAACGCATCATGTGACTCTTTCCTTGTGTACAAGAGACTGTTAACCAGAGGATGAAGGCGATGGCATGTGGGAGGACATAGCATTGCATTGCTCTGTTCTTGTTAGCCTACAAACCAGACCTTGAAAAGGAACATTTTGATTCTCCCCACCCCTCTGTATACTCCATTCCATTCCCACCCCACACCTAAGTGTCAGTGGTGCCTGATGGCTACGTTGAGTCCTCTTGGAGATTTTTCTTCCCCACTAATTTTCATTTTTTTAAAGGGGTTTTATACTTCTGCAAACCTCAGGGTTTCCCTAAGCTTGCCAATATCTTTTGCACACAGATTTTGTCTGTATAAGGATCCAGCGCAGTGTCTCATATATTTGATAGTATATCAATTCAAACGTAGTACCACTAAAGAAACAAGCTTATTCCAACCTTTCTTATTTCTGTTGTTCCCTTCCAGCAAAACAGAGAACTGGGTGATAGAGACTGGCTCGAGATCGCTCGTGAGCTTCCTGACTTGAACAGGATTCAAATGCAGGCGTATAGTATCAGACTGGCCCTCTCTTACATACCTCTTCAGAGAGAGTATTCCATACTGTTTTCATACAGTCTTCCTCTGAGGTATCTGTTTTCCTATACCCTGGTTATTTCAATTCAATAATTGAAATAACCTCCCCATGTTTTAATACTTTGTTATTTTTTCATATCACAAAATATTAAGTATAGAATGATGGAATAGACGCATACTGCCTCCCGGCTATGCAGCTACTCGAGCACTCTGTCTGGGAGCTTCCTTTAACATACACCCATCATATATGAAAGACTTATATCCCCATCAATAGGTACAAAATACATCTAAATTTAATGGAAGCCATTTTATCTATGAATGACTTATGTCAATTTTTACTATGATTTTGTCAGTAGTAACAGGTTCTCTTTTGAGACATCACTGGATATTGTTGATTTTTCTACTAGCCCAATTTTTGTAATTGCACAGTTCCTCTATATGATTAAGAAAAATAAAATATTTAGACTTTCCAAATGCACTTTAATTGCTGAGAACAGCCCAGCAAGCTCTGGTTAATGAGCCATATAAAAATGAAATGAATAATAATAAAATTTTTTCAAAAAGAGCAGGATCTTTGCGGTTTCTTTCAGTTTATCCAAAGATACTAGAAAAACTTTGGCATCCTGCTTTGCCACTTACTAAATTGCATCCTTGCTCCATTATTTGCGAAATCTATTCTTTTACTAAAAGCATAGTTTTCCAATGTTGAAATTATTATAAAGGGCAGAAACTTAGATATAGCTTTAGGAAAACTCTGCCTTTTCTTGTCCAGCAATGTTAAAAACCCCCAACCACTCCTCTAGCATTGCTTTCTATTTCAGATCTTTTGTATGCTAATTGCAAAGCTATATCCTGACTTTTTAAAGCTATTCACAGGGTTTGATTACTATATAAAAGTCAGTAAGCTGCCCCTTCAGGCTTTTGTAAAGCAGTATATATGGTTTACTTCTATCTCCTCAGACATTCTCCTTCACATTATTTTATTAAAAATTACAATTTTTCACAGATATACAAGTTTGTGAACTTTTTGCCATTGAATATGCATTGTATCTGAGATATACATTGCCAAGTAAGGAAAAGAATCATGAACCTGATGTTATTTTTTTTTAGATTACTATTTAATCCATGCACAGAACCTCACACCTTTTTACTTTGCTTTTAAATACATTTCTAAAGATTAACTTACAAGTCAATTTCTAACCTGCAGCTTGCACGAGGGTTGACTTAATATGCAATGCTCACCATGGATAAAGTCCATGTATTCAGTTATGCTGGATGCTTCCAACTATGCCTATGTGCACTTACCACACGAATCTCGAGGGTGATTCTAACTTGAAATAGGCACTCGGCTGCATTTCTGTGATGGAATGCTTTTCATTTACCAAACTTTAGTCTCAGAAGTACATGTGCAAAGCCACTCTGACTTAAGATCCTGCACTAGAAACCCAAAACCATTTTTGGAAAGGAAAATGCCCGAGTCCTTTCCTGTCCTTAACTCTTTGTGTCTGGCCACAGCTTTCGGAGTGATCAACATGTAGCTGTTCAAATGTTTTGGCCTACAACCTTCCACCAGTGTTGGCTTATGGCAAGGGATAACAGCAGCTGTGATCCTTTAGGTGCTTTGCCAACCCCGGTGCTATAGAATTACTCAGCTGCAACCACCTTCTAACAGCAGGCAGTTGAACAGAGAATCTCCTCACCGTCACCCCCATACACTCCATCATGGGCAGATGAGATTTCATAAGGGCAGCACAACCAGCCAAGTGTCCAACTGCAGGGCGAGCTCGATGCTGGTAAGACCAGCCAGGCAGCAGCAGCGAGAACCAATTCTCACAACCCTTCCTTTGTGTCATGGCCCCAAGAAACACCCTGCTCACTTTGGTGGCGAATTGACTGTGTGTGTCCGAGGCCGGAGGAGTCGATCCGTCAAGGCACAGCGTTGTTCTGGTTGAAGAGCCTTCCCCCCACAAATGGAGAAGGCTGCACAGGTGTGTGCATGAGAAAGGACGGGCGTTTACACAACTCTCTGCCTTGAAAGAAAGCAGTCTGGCCTAAGGTCTGATTAAGCTTTGGAGCGAGGGTTTGATCCTGCATGGTGAGGACAAAAGCAGCCGTGTCAGCCTGCTCTGAAGAGTGCAGATTAGGCAAAGCGGACAACCAAGCCAGGCCTGACCCTAACGAAGGAATGGTAGCAGAGATCCAAGGTGCAGCTGAATCCAGAAAGGGGGAGGAAACCCCCACATTAAACTGAGGCAGCAAACAAGGTCGCTAAAGCAGGGGGATACGGGTCGGCTCCCATAGTTGCCGGGCCAAGTCACGTGCCTGCTGAATCACAAGCTCCGTTGGCATGATGCCCAGGTGGATGGTCAGCAGCTCATAGCATTTCACCACTTCATTCGTCCGGCTCTTGCTGTAGTAACGGAGCAGCTTCCTGCATGGGAGAGATGGTGGTCAGAAGAGGGCTATGAGCATGTGGGAATGAAGGGGAAAGGAGGGCTCCAAGTGCCCCACTGGCACAGCCAGCAGAAGCAAAGAAGAGATGACTCTCTCATCCTCACACGGGGCACAAAACCACTGAGACGCGTGCAGGCAATCTGAGGAAGGTTAGCAATGTGTGGTGCTCCTCCCCATGCGAGGGTGAGCATCCCCAAGAGGCTAGACTTGCGGAGCTTAGGCAGCAGGGTCCCCAAATATCAGCCAAGCACAAGTACAAGGTATCTCATAAGGCTGAAGACAAGATCCTGTAAAATTGTGATTCCTAGGGCCCCAAACCCCTTTCATGTAATTCACTGGTGTCTATGTAGCTGGAATCCTTGCTCACCTGTAATAGTCACCTGCCAGCATTCCAATGGGGGCTGAATCATCAGAAAGTATCGGCACATCCGTAACTTCCAGCTTGTAACCCTGCAGGGATATGGCAGCGATAAGGAATTGCCTGGGGCTGGGACATGCTAGGGGGCCACTGTGGATACATTCCTGGGACAGCTTACACAAGGTTGTTTGCTTGTACTATCCTAATTGTGTTAGTACATGTTATGCACTGCCATTGTTCTTCTTGCAGCACTTTACACAGGAATCCTATGCTCCTTAAAAAAAGTCCCAGGCCCTGTAACTCCCAGCTTTGTCGAACAAGCGTGGGTGGCTGGAGAATGCCGGGCATTGCATGGGACGGCTCTTTTAGCCTCACCGCACCTTTGTTAAGCTGGGGGCGCATGGCCTGGCAAAGGCTGGGTCAGTGACTGCAAGCAAATCCAGAGTCAGCACCAAGGGCAGATTCACAGCCGGCATTCTGGAGATGCCTGCAGCGTCCTGGGTTGCCAGGGGTGCAGTGGGTGGAGAAACGGCCACGTGTTCGCCCGCCCTTTCTGCACCGTTCCTCTTGGCTGCAAGCCCCTCTACATACCAGCTCATTCTCGAACCAAAGAAAGTAGGTGCAATAGTAGTCTCCATCCCGGACTGTCAGTGTGGTGTAGCCCTTCTGCAAGTAGCTTCGAGCCAACGCTATCAGAGACCACACCTGGGGAGCAAGGGCAGGGAAGGCAAAGTGAGGCATACCTTTGAGCCAGCCCCAAATATTCCCCTTCGGAGCCCCACATTGCTACATCCAAATGCAACATTCCCCCCACCAAATCCATCACATGAGCACATACCTGATGGTCATCTACCTTCTCTCCCACAATCACAATTAATTCAGCAGCATGAAAGCAGAAGGAACAGAGGCCTGACATGGGCTGAAGAACACTACCTTCTCCTTGATGAAGGCAGGCAGAGGCCCCTTGCCAAGTTCTGATGTAACATCCTCTGCCATGCCAAGGGATGGAGCCACCATCTGGCCCACAGAGCGGTCCACGTAGATGAAATGCACAAGTCCTGGGAAATCCTCCAGGTATGTGGATGGATGCAAGTTAAGGGCCTAGTTGGAGATAAGAAAGTTCCTCCCTTTTACTTTGGCACCTAGATAGTCCCCTAAAGGCAATTCTATCCTTATGCTCCAGAGGAACCTTTGGAGCAACATTTGGAATGAAGAATTGCACACTCATTTCTCCCAGCACCAATCCAAGAGAGCAGTGGTCCTTCCCTTAGCTCCCCTGGGACTTTAACGCTGACTGGGTACTTTCCTGCCCTCCTCTTACAACTGGACTGTTCCACATCGTGGTAGTATCTATGGATCTGCTTTGGCTGAAACCAAGGAAAAAAGAGCTAAGCCCAACACTCTGCTCCCCCACCAGAGGTGGAGATTCCGTGGCCCTCCAGATGCTTTTGAACCACAGTGTCCACCATCCCTGACTACTCGCTCTAATAACTGGGGGTAATGGGAGCTGGAGTCCAGCAACATCTGAAAGGGCCCAAGTTTCTCAGTCTGGGTTTAAGTAGATACACAGACTACAACTGCCCCTGTTTGGAAAGGGAAAGGGAAAGGGAAGGGCCAAGCTTTTGTCTCAAGGCCTCCTTTGCTTTCCTCTTGAGGCCTCTTCAGTAGCTGCATTATCAGAGTGCCTCTCCCAGCCCCTGGTACTTCACAGTCTCTTCTCCAAACACCCTCCTTCCAATGGAAGATTCTCAGCATCACCAACCAACACAGGGAAATAGGAGAGAGTCGGTGATGCAGAAATGGTAAGCAGGGAAGGATATGACACCATGGTGACATTACGCTTGCTTTTCACCAGCAGGAAGTCCCTCCAGTCTTGAAGCTTGTCCCTGCCAATGGAATTGGGTCAGGAGAAAGGAGTAAATGAAAGGCGCAATGGCTTTAGGCACACAAGTCTTCCTGCCTTAGTAACAAGAGCACTACATTTCTTATTCTACCCTGGACAAAAGGCGGCAAGGTGATATCCCCTTTAATTCTGCTGCCAGCCTTCCGTGAGAGAACAGCAGCTGCAGGGGATCTTGTCCATACCTGAGATATATTGCCTTCCACGGGACAATACCGAATAAGCACAGATCAGGAGGGAGCTGTGCTAAAGAGAACCCCAGCATGAATGTCTGCAATACTCCATGCGCAACACACACCTTCCATTATGCTCTGAGTAATGCCACCGACCGCCCCTCCCCATTGTGTCCCATGGTGCTCACCGCGTGAACTGCTGTGCCCGATCTAGCATGCTCTGAGGCAAGCCTGGGGTGCCAGAGGATCCAAGAAAGAGAAGCCGATATACCGCACAGAGTTGTCGCCGGAGGCTGCCAAACGCCTGCAGAAGCCTGGGGCAGAAAGAGAGGCATGCTGACCTGCAGGTCCAGAGACCAAATCCAGCCTACCTAGCCTCACCAAGCGACCCTGCTTCCCTGGCACATCCTACTGGTTTGGTGCTCTGGGGAGGGGGGCTGGCTTGCATTATTGAACACTGGAATAGGAAAGGAGTGTTATCACCCCTCCTTTTGGCAGTGGGGCCAGTGATGCCAGTGGGGCAATACAACAGTCTCAGTCTAAACTTTTACGCAAGTATCCATGGTGCTGAAGCCCAGCCCCAATCGATTCAGCACCACAGACAGTTCTTTTAAAGTCTGAAGTAAAACCTGGAGTGGATACACCATCCCACGGACACTGAATCCAGGCCTCACTGCTGCCTTTTAGCTGCTCAACAACAGGGCAACTGGTTGAGCATCCCCTCCATTTGCTCTTGCAGAATGAAGGCCCTCACCAAAGCCTGAATACTTATAAGCATTTCAACTCTGAACACTTTACTCATCTGCTAATAGTCTTTTGTCTTCTGTACTTCTCACTGGAAGGTGCTCTCTTTCCCACTCAGCCTCAAATCTCTTCCCTCCTTGTAGTAATTCTCAATCTATCCATATTGCTTCAGGAATCCATTCACTTAAAAAAAAACCCCAAGCGAAAACCATCTAATTGGATACTATTTCTGTCCATTTTCTTTATATCCTCCTCTCATGTTAGCATAACTAGGAAAACACACACAACTTGTATTTGCTTCTTTGTTTTTTCGAAGCATTTTATATATCTTTACTCTGATTATTGCTATCTGTGGTATTTTAGACTTGGTAAATTCCAGTTCCCTTTTAAATGTTTTAAACAAACCACTGAACCATGTGTATTTCCATTCTAATAAATATTTCTTGCTATTCTTTTGAAACTCTGTCACTTGTCTCCTTGACACCGCTAGGTAAGGACCCAATTTTTGATGCTGCTCATTGTCTCAAAGCTTAAATGAACCCCCATGTCTGTTTGAGTTGAACAAGTGAATGAATACATATGTTAACACCAATACTCACTCCCATGAATTCCCAGTTTCACTTCGAGAGCACACTTTGTTCTTGAATTCCAGCCAGGCATTCTGTAACTGTGTGAGAGACAAGCAGGCCGGTCTCTGAAGAGAACCGCTTTGCACTCTTATTCAGTGAGTCCCTTGTCCTTTCTGCTCCTGCAAATGGGAACTGATCTGCAGCTTACAGCTGTTCAGCTCTGCCCACCCAACATGCCAGAAGGGATAGCTGCTCTCCTCCACACTACTTCGCCCAGCTCCTTTCGTAAGTGGAAGCGGCATGTATAGGGAAGGGTGCTCAGCACCAGCTCTCCATCCAACTTCTATGCAGGGCAGAGGTGTTGAACCTCTTTCAACTCATGGGCCGAACTGAATTCCAGGGCTCTTGAGGGCTGCATTGCAGTGGTGGGTGAACCAAAGGTAAAGGACCAAAATCCCAGACTGCACCTGCTTAAATCATTAGCCTCCAGCACCGAAGCCTCAGGAGCGGCGCTATTTAGAATGGCAGGTGAAATGCACAAGAGGCAGAAGGCCCCTAATGATAGGCAGTCAGGGGAAAGAGAGGCGGCATGGACCACTGAGCAATCACAAGGAACACAGTGGGACACCAGGCAGGGTGGACTGGGTCCCTGGGCCTGGTGTAGACCAGGTCAGTCCTCACCTGGGATTCTTGCCCACTCAGCTTCTTGACAAACTTGTCCATTCGGTGCCGGAATTCCAACAAGAGTGGCTGAGAGCGCAGCGGCTGCCTGTTCTCCTGCCCATCTCGCAGTTTCTTCTCCAGCACCAGAAGCCCATCTAACAGCTGGTAGAGGGAAAGCGCCACATGGGAATTGGGGCCCTGCGGGGCAAAGAAGGCGTTTAGTGAGATCCAGGCTGGGTGGGGATCAAATTAGGTCCAGTGGAGCCAGCTCACCTTAGCGAGGAGCACCAGCGAGATCCCTGGCCAGAGGGGGAGACAGTGCATGGTGTGGGGCATCATGGGACAGTAGCCTTCTTTCAGGTTGGCATCCAAGAAAACTCTCCGTGGGTTGGTAGCCCCTGAGGTGGGAGGCACCAGAGCCTGCAGTGAATCCTCAGCCATCTGGGGAGAGAGACACAGCTCCGTGGAATTCAGATCTCATTAACTACAGAACTTATTTGGGTTTCTACTCCAAGGTCTCCTTTGCCCTGCCTTTTAGGGATTGCCCCATGCAAGCAGCGTTTCTTATGGCAGGATTTGGCCTGCTCTGCTAGTCAGAAGCAGAACAACTACCTCTGTATTTGCAGGATCAGTCCCAAGCCCTGCTGGAGCACGCATTCTACTGATGCACACTGCGTAGGAGCGACGTCTTCCCCCAGAACTGGTCTCAGCCAAGTATGAAATACAGCTGTTAATGATGAATTAGCCTCTGATATGAAAGTGAGAAAAGGGCATATAAAGAAAAATAAGTGTAATAAGATATAGGGCACATTTATTATGTGCTAAACAGAGAAAGGATCTGGACTGTCAAAAGAATAATTGCAGTTTTGGAAGGGGGAAATGTCCTGAAAGAATGTTTGAATGAGCTTTCTATCTGTAACCTATCCTACGGTCCTGGTGGTGGGGGACACGCTATCTTTAAGATTGATTTTAATTGTATGTTAGTTTTATATGTTTTACTTTAGTAGTAATTTTTTCTTGGTTGTACTTTAGATTGAGAAATAATTTAAAAAATTAAAAGGGAAGAACTGGTCTCGGCAATGCAGGCCCTCCTGTTCGCGGCAGTGCCTGTTGCTGGCTGCTGCACCTTGCTGTGCCTCCTGCCTTGCCTTGCTGCCTCAGCTGCACAGGTTTTCCTGCTTGCTGCAGTGCCTGCACCTTGCCTGCCTCGCTGCTGGTATCCTGCTTCGCCGTCTCAGCTGTCACATGGATCTTTTTCCTGGCTGTGGTGTGGCGCAGCTCATGCCCCTTGCTGCATCTGGTTCCTCTTGCGCCTTGCCTTGCCTTGCCACCTCAGAAATACAGGTTTGCCTGCTCACTGTAGCTCAGCTCCTGGGTCTTGCCTGGCCCTTGCCATGTACCCTGCTGTGCCATTATCCTGCCTCAAGTACATTTATCTTACCCAGTTATCCTGCCTCCTGCCTGATGCTTGCTGTGTATCCTGTCTTGCCGTGTCTCCTGCCCTGTTATCCTGCCTCAAGGCACCTGTGCCTCTGCTTGTCTTCCTGCTCTTGACCACCGGCTTTCTCCTGACCGCATCCTTGCTCTGCTCTCATGCATTCTGCTGGTCCCTGGCCTCAGCCTGTTCTATGATCTGGACTTTCCATTAAACCCTGCTTTTGGACTCTTGTTTTTCTTGAAGTTCTCTTGCCTGGTGCCTCTTGTCTCTGGCCGCCCTCATCTCAGCTGCAGACTGACACCTTCAAATCAGAGCACTCCTCCAAGTGATGCAATAGCTCCACCTACGGATAGTTTCTAGGAACAAGAAGGTAATCTGTGTGTGTGTGTGGGGGGGTAACCCCCTCACAGGTGATAGAGAGCAGAGGTGGGCATATTGTGGCCCTCCAGATGTGTGGCCTGCAACTCCCTTCTGATCTAGGTAGCACTGCAATTCTTTCTTTGTTTTGGCATCCTCTTCTTTCTTTCTCTCTCTCTCTTTGACAAGAAAGACAGGGAGAGATTTTTCTAGCCAGAGGACTGAGCTGATCATTTGCAAAGGTTGCTGAAGTTACACGGAGGAGAGAAGATTGCCCACCCTTTGCTTTAAGCTGCAATGGGGCAAGCACCCACACAGATGAGGGGGCCTCTCTTTAGCAGCACGGGGGAGTCCCACTCACTGCAGAATGAATCCTGGTGGAGGAGCTTAGGCTCCAAAGACAAGCAGCACAGGCTGTGTGCCCTCCAAGCCCAGTTCTCTTGCCTGCCCTGCCCCTTCTTGGTTAGGTTTCAAGGTCACCCACTCAATATGAGGGGCATTAATTTTACTGCAGTGTGCGCCAGTGGGCTTTATATGAAACTTTAATGAAGTTACAAAAACCTCCACATGATGCATTCACAGTACGTTAATACCTATGAAAAAGCATAACTGAAATCCAGAGTGCAGGTGAAAGGTAAGGTGGAAAAGCAAAAGAAAAATACAATTCAGGTGAATAAGCCACTATGCAGCTCTTGAGAAAGTTTTTCACGCTACAGGGGATGTCCAAATATTGCAACTATGATGCTTACATCTGCATTAACTGGGCCCTTGATGAAAAGGCTTCCTATCTAATTCCATTTTTCATTATTAGAGTCCTGTCTCATGTACTCTTTTGCATAATTTGAGGTAGTGTTTCTCATTCATTTCCCCTTTTTTGAGGGCAGCCTATTACAGAGATGCGGCTCACAAACAGCTTCAGGAAGTGGCGAGGAAAACTGACTGCAGTCAGGGTGATCTGATAAGTGACAGTGACAAAAAGTAGGCAGACCAGAAAGAGAACTGGAACAGAGAAAGAGGGGAACCCCAGAAGAGCAAACAGGAACCCTGAAATGCCGAGCACTTACCTGGATGTCGGCAGAACTTGTGTCCCCCTCGCCCTGTGACTCCACACCCTCGGCCCAGGCAGCGCTTCCTTCAGGCAAGAGAGAAGAGAAGACCAGATAGCCCAGCACCAGGTGTGGAAAGGGGTTAGTGACCTTTCCAGCAAAAAGCACAGGGGGCTCAGACCCTCATCATGAGGCAACCATGTCCCAGCTGGGGCAACACCGGCACTTCGCGTCGTCTTCCCAACGAGTGTCTTAGGGACTTCTTTTCAGGAACAGAGCAGGTTGCCTTGTCCGGAACCAGACCGATCCTTCTTTCCCAGTATTGCTGACACTGACTGGCAGTGGCTGTCCAGGATTTTGGGCAGGATTCATGCATGGCCCTACCAGGGGGTGCTGGGGATCAAAACAGCAACTCCCTGCGTGCAGTGTGTGCTCTGCCCGAGCTGCCACCCTCCCCTCCCCTCCCCTCCGGCCACATTTGCATGCTCTTGCTAAGCCAGCAGGGCAGCTGGGCTCTGCTCCGTCCCCAAGATGGCCAATATTCCCACGCAACTGCAGCTCCTTAGAGAAGCTTCCCCCAACCTGGTGCCCTCCATGTGTCTTGGACTGCAATTCCCAGCCACTGGCCATCGGGCTGTGAATGCTGCGAGTTGCGGCACAACACATCTGCGGGGCCCCAGCTGAGGAAGGATGCCCCTGAGCCAGCTGGCAGAGGCGCCATGGCTTTGCACACTCCAATGCCCCTGACAACCACCTTCCCAGGCCCACCAGTCCGGCCCTCCTTCCCCTGAACCCCAAACTCACCTGTGCTCTCCTGGCTAGGGGAAGCCTTGGGGGTGTAGAACTCCTCAGACATAGAGAGGTCATCTGCTACCTGAGGGAGGGCGTAAGGGAGTGTGGAAGGGAACTGACTCAGCAAGAGCCGGGCTCCCTCCCATCTGGTTTAACACAGCACCCAGGGCAGTAATGATGGGAGGAACCAATCCTGGCAAGCGACAGATCCCATATTGCCTGTCATGTACCCCACTGCAGCACCCTGATCTCCCCTCCCTTTAGGCTGGTCAAGCAGACCTACAACCGAATTCCTATCACCACAATCCAGTTGGGCCTTTGGATGACAGTAACAAAGCCTAGCCTACACTCACCTGCTCTTGAGAAGATCCATGGGCACCCGGGCTGTTCACTGGAATACTCTGGCTGCTTTGCGGCTTCTGAAGGCTTGGCTCACCCTCTGTAGACTGAACACACAGGCCCAGCATCAACTTAGGGTATCCTAAAACTGCTGTCAAGGCCCAGTGTTGACATCCGCCTTGGTTTCCCTCTTAAACTACTGTTTTCCTGTGCTAGTGCAACTTTGTTATTTCCCACAATAGCTTGGGTGAAGAGCATCTTGGGAAATTAACTTGGTTGCAACAGAATCTCTACTGCTGTCAGTCCACAATGGGGCAGGTGGGGATCAGTATCAAGCCTTTGCCCCATCAAACCTGGCGCTGGCCTTGTAAAGAGAAATGTATCACAGGCCTAACCCTGAACTTCACAGCTGAGTGGGGATTTGAACCTGGGCCACTCAAGTCTTAGGCCAGTACTCTAACCACTATACCACACTAGCTTCCGAAAAAGAAGCCCACCCACTCAGTAAGCAGCTTTCAATCCAGGGTCCCTCTCCCAGGTTCTCTAAAGATCACCTGCATTCTACTCTAACTCAGTCCAGCCAGAGACAGGGAGTTCCTGGGAAAAAAAGATCTCCAGGTAAAGGACTCCTTATATGATATTGTCTGCGGGCAGATACCTGTGGGACAGGCTGCTCCTCAGAGGAGGTGCTGGGATACAGATCTTGCACGAGCAGGAGCAGGGTGAGCAGGTCGGCGGGCCGCAGAGCGCTGGCATTCCGGCTAGAAGTCGGATTGCGGAAGGGAAAAAGAACATCATCCCTTAGGGAAGCCACAGTTTGGAAGCTGGGGAGGTCTTACAGATTGGGGGAGCAGGATCAGAAGCAAGGGGTGGTCAAGCTGGCACTGAGGAAGAGGTGGGGGATCTCAAAGGGGGCACTATGTAAGGTGGAGGATAGTGCACTGGTAAGAGCAGACCTCATTTTTAGGGCCAAACTAAACCTTCTTTTGTTCATGCAAAGCTGGACTATGTGTGACTGTTGCTACTGTTCCCTGCAAGCATTTATGGCCCTGATTTAAATCCAGACTGTGGCTCTTCGGGGAGGGGGGGTTTGCTTCCTTCCCCAGTCCCGCATGCTCTGATTCTGTCTTGAAATTCCACACAGACATTCCAAAGCAGATTAAAAAAAGGGGAAAACTCTAACTCCAATTTTGGGATGAAAAAGGCAGTGGTGAGGAGGCAGCTTAAACCTTACTCTCCTGAAGCACCACAGTTCCAGCCCAAATTGGGGCTGCAGGCACTGGCAGAAGAACAGGGGAGGCAATCGCATATGTGGGATCCAAGGAACGTTTGCTTTGGCCTTTACGCAAGCCCGAGTGGACCAGAGTTGAGGTATTACCTGGAGTAGAAGGCCAGGAGCTTGGTGTGCACGAGCAGGAAGGCATGCACAACTTCATGCCCACCACGCTCCGTGCTGCCGTTGATGTGCTGCACAACGTGCCGTTCCAGGAACTCGATGCACTGTTCACAGAGCTGTGGGTGGATCAGTCGTTCCACGGCCTGGAGCGGATGGGGACAGAGCAACAGAACACGGCACCCAAGTCAGAACTAGACTTGTGGTCCCTCCGGCCGAGCTCCTTTTAAGGTACTGGGGGAACCCATCACACAGCTCCCTCTCTCCACTCCAGCCAATTTCAGGTCACATTTCCTCTCTTCCAGGTACAACTAGGTGAAACAGTGCCCGGTGCAACAAAGCCCAGCATCTTGAAGGGTGGCCCATTTCTTGAAGGCGAGTAGCACCTTCCTGGTTTGCCGTTTCCACCCCTGACCACCAAAGAGACTGCTCCTGCGCACACTTCCACTCCATCAGCTCCGCCACCCCGCAGGCTACCCACCCCCTTTACCTCAACAGCAAAGCTTTGGTCCTCCTGGTGCAGCTGGCTATAGGTTTGCAGCAGGCTCTGAAACAGTCCCCAGGTGTGAGCGCGTTGTTCAGAATCCACCGGGCGCAGCCTGCAAAACAGGAGCCTGCAAATCGGCATGGCCCAGCCTAGGGCCCAGTGGGAGCAGATTCCCGCCTCCAAGACACCTGCCCCCACCTGCACATACTTTCATTTGGCCCTTGGTTCAGCTCTCTGCTGAAGTGGAGGAGATCATGGGAGTCGGTTCTCACTGGCTTTAGCGTTCAATTGCAAAACCTTCCTTAGAGCACTGAAGCAGCAGGCACTGGTATTGACTAAAGCAGCAGCCGTCCATAAATCCTCAACCCATTCCTATTTTGCTGCGGCTTCCCCAAACATAATAGGTAAGACAGACTGTACAGTCTTATTGTGTGTACCATATGAGAATTGTTGCTTCACAGTGTAAACCACACAGCTGCACTGCTGAAGTGGCCGGGGAGAGTGTGCTTGTGTGTGCAAAAGAGAACGAATAAACGAATGAGCAAAAGGATATATTGCAACCACACGGGCAGGGCTGTTGCATGGGTCTTTCCCAACCAATTTGCTGGTTATGGGCCAGCAATCAGCTCCACTGAAATGCTTGTGGAGTTTCCTCTGAAGTGTAATGCACAGTTCAGTTGTGATATACAAGGGAGAACTGCTCCAATGTGGCTTAGTGCACTTGTAAATGGATTACCCAGAGCAGCCTGAGGAAAACACATGGAATACGGCTGTGACTGTCATAAACAAGATATCGCATTCAGAGCTGGGATGAAACCAAGCCCAGTACCACTAGCCTGTTCACATGTAACAGTGGCAAATCGCGGACTGATTTTCCACAGTGCATGCTGGGCCCACATGCTGCCGCCGTTTTAAATATGTAACTGCTAATTAGTCCAGAGATTGCTCCATGATATGTAAACCCAGATACTATGAGTTAATCATGGGCTAAACAACTTAAGAATTAATTGCAGGTTGTCTAACCCATGATTAATCCAGAGTGTCCACCCACCATGGAGCAACATCTGATTAGATTGTTCAGAGGGTGCACATTCCGAATGGTAGTGGCACAAGATCCCAGAAAACTTGAATTAATTAACCCATTATCTGCTGGTGCCTTTACATGCAGACTAGGACAATAGGGGACCAAAACCCTCCATTGGCTTGATCACTCACTCCCTGTGGAGGAGGTGGCTGTCAAGTGTAACCAGGCCGAAATGAGCCTCAGCCAGTCTCCTGAGCACGTAGAGTTTACGCCGCAAGTCATCCTCGCTCTCGGAGCCATCACCATTCACCGCAATATAGAGGCACTCGCCAAACTGTTAAGAAATGCAAAAAGCCAGAGGATCCCATCAATCACAACTAAGAAAAAAGCAAAATGATACAAACATAATTGAGTATACAAGTAACCAAAAAGTTATGGGCATTCCTTTTTAAAAATGTTAATGAATGTTATTGAAAGTATTTTCATCCTGCTCCTCGGCCATCCTGCTCCTGAAGCAGCTTACTGACAGTTAAACAAGAGAGTCCTTGCCCACAGGCCTGTGATCTAACAAGACCCAACAGAAAGAGAAAAAGGATGGGAAGGGGTGATTATGTTAAATGCTCCACAACCCACAATGCATTTTAAGGTTTAATTAAGCATGTCTGCACAACATGAGCCGTCCAGCCAAACACAGTTCACCAGTGGCTCAGTAAAGCCACTGCATGCCTGGAACTGCAAGAAGAGAGAGAGTAGCAAGGAGTGTCCAGCCCATAATACATGGGCTACGAGGGCCACACTCAGTTTGTGCCTCACAAATTGTGTGGTTCTCTTACAACCAATTCCTTGGAGGAAAAGGTATATGTGCATGAATTGGTGGCAGAGGGAGAAAATGAAAAATGCAGCAGTTGGTCTTGCTCTGCTCTCTTCAAAGGTACCACCTGGGGACTCCCGGAACTACTAGCTCCATTCTTGGCCCCAGCTGGGGCTCCCCTCTCACCCAGAAGACTAGCCCAGCCAGGCGTCGGAATCAAATAACCTGGATAGTCAGCCAAAATACATACTGAACACATTTATTTCTGACCATCCCCTTAGGTCTTCAAGAGTCCTTTATACAAACTTATTTATTTATTTATTATTTATTTAAAACATTTCTATGCCGCCCCCATTGCAACAAAGCCTCGGGGCGGCTCACTATATATATATATATATATATATATATATATAAAAATTTAAAACCCCCCCAGTGCATTCTCGGCTAATTTAAAATCCTAATAAATACAATAATTTAGCAATTAAAATAAGTTTTAAATAAAAAGGTCTTAGCCTGGCACCGAAAAACAAATAATGACGGTGCCAGGCGGACCTCCTGGGGAGCGCATTCCATAGATGGGGCGCCACCGCAGAGAAAGCCCTCCTCCGGGTACTCACCCTCCTAATATCATTCACAGAGGGTTCCCGGAGAAGGGCATCCGTTGCTGATCTCAAGGGGCGGAAGGGCATATATAGGCGCAAGCGTTCCTTTAGATATCCAGGTCCCAAGCCGTTTAGGGCTTTATAGGTCATAACCAACACCTTGAATTGGGCCCAGACTTCAATCGGGAGCCAGTGGAGCTGACAGAGAACTGGGGTTATATGAGAACAACGCCCAGTCCCCGTCAGCAAACTGGCAGCTCTATTCTACACCAATTGAAGTATCCGGACCGTCTTCAAGTGTAGCCCCACGTAGAGCGCATTACAAAAATCTAATCGGGAAGTTACCAGCGCGTGTGTCACTGTCGTCAGACAGTCGTTCTCCAGGAAGGGACGCAGCTGATGGATCAGCCGAAGCTGAAGGAAGGCGCTCCTCGCCACCGCCGTCACCTGAGCTTCTAGAGACAGCTCAGGGTCGAGGAGCACTCCCAAGCTGCAAACCCTGTCCCTCAGAGGGAGTGCAACCCCATTTAGGACAAGGCCCAAGTCCCCCATCTCGAGGCCCGTGCCACCCACCAACAGGACCTCCGTCTTGTCTGAATTGAGCTTCAGTTTATTGGCCCTCATCCAGCCCATTACCTCGGCCAGGCACCGGTTCAGCACAGCCACTGCCTCACCTGGATTAGTGGAAAACAAGAGGTAGAGCTGGGTATCATCAGCGTACTGATGATTCCGCAGCCCACACCTCCTGATGACCTCTCCCAGCGGTTTCATGTAGATGTTAAATAGCAAAGGGGACAAAATGGACCCCTGTGGAACTCCATGGCATAGCTGCCATGGCGCAGAGCCATAGTCCCCCAGCACCACCTTCTGAAAGCGGCCGTTGAGATAGGAGCGGAACCACCGCCACGCGGTGCCTCCAACTCCCAATCCCGCTAGCCTATTCAGAAGGATACCATGGTCGATGGTATTGAAAGCTGCTGAGAGGTCCAGGAGAACTAACAGGGATGCACTCCCCCTGTCTCTCTCCATGCACGGGTCATCATACAGGGTGACCAAGGCAGATTCAGTGCCATACCCGGGTCTGAAGCCAGACTGAAATGGGTCCAGATAATCAGTTTCATCCAAGAGTGCTTGGAGTTGTCCCGCCGCCACCCGCTCTAACACCTTGCCCAGAAACGGGATGTTGGCCACCGGTCTATAATTGGCGGCCATCTCTGGATCCAGGGATGCCTTCTTTAGAACTGGCCGGACTACCACCTCCTTTAAAGGACAGGTACCCGGCCGTCTCTTAAAGAGGCGTTGACCACCTCCAGGATCCAGGTCCCAATCCCGTCCTTGGCTTTCTTAAGTAGCCAAGATGGGCATGGGTCTAGTAAGCAAGTGGTAGGACATACTCATCCAAGCACCTTGTCCACATCATCAGGCCGCAACAACTGAAATTCATCCATTAATTGTGGACTCGACGGCGTCGATGGCATCTTCCCGATAGAATCTGGTTCAATAGCAGAGTCAAGCTCGTGGCGAATCTGAGCGATTTTCTCCCTGAAATGCTTGGCAAAGTCGTCACAGTGGGCCTTCGAGGGTGGTACAAGATCTTTCTTTGGGCCCGGATGTATCAGCCCCTGCACCACCCGAAAGAGCTCCGCTGGATGGCATTGTGAGGAGGCAATGGAAACTGAGAAGAATTTCTTCTTCGCCACCCTCACCGCCACAGCATAGGCCCGATAATGGGCTCTTAAGTGTGTTCGGTCAGAATCACCCCGTGATCTCCTCCACCTACACTCTAGACGTCTCCCAACCTGCTTCATCGCCCGTAATTCAGGTGTATACCAAGGAGATGAACAGGCTCTGCCAGGTGGGAGAGGACACTTGGGAGCGATCGTGTCAATAGCTCTCCTCATTCCACAGTTCAACCAGGGCATCGACAGGATTACCAGCTTGTCAACCAGAAATATCCCAGAGCTTCCAGGAATCCATCAAGATCCATCCGGCTCCGGGGGCGGACCAATACAATTGAGTCTGCACCCTTGCAGAGGGAAAGGCTGCTCTTGAGCTCAAACCTTATGAGGAAGTGATCTGACCATGACAAGGGCGTCAAGCTCAAATTCCTCACCCTCAGATCACCCTTTTGCTGCTCCGTCAAGAAAACCAGGTCCAGAGTGTGTCCACGTTCATGGGTCGGGCCATAGAGGCTGCCATAGAGGCCATGAAGTCCTGAGCCGCCCCAGTTAAAACCGTCTCAGCATGGAGATTGAATTCCCCCACGACCAACATCCTGGGGGTCCTCAACACCAGGTCTGAGACGATTTAGGGCACAATCTCATGCATGTTTAGTCAGAAAAAGTCCTACAACTCTCAGCACGGCAGGCTGGGGAATGCTAGGAATTATAGGGCTTTTTTCTATACATTTACATTTTCAGCAAGGGTGGGCTTCCATGAGCAGTTCTGCTCAAAACCAGAAGAATGTTTTATTTCTCTTCCCTCCTCATCTCTTTTTCCTTGTATGTCATATCATTTTAAATTGTAAGCCAGGACTGCTTTCTTACTGATTGATTGTATTGTTGTTACTGTTACATTGCATTTATATCATGCCTATTTATTTAGCTATTTATTTATTATATTTATATGCTACCAAGCAGTCTGGAGGGCTCTCTAGACAATGTACATCAATCAACAAAGCCAAAATAAAAAAACCCAACAATTTCAGAATACTAAAATCAATAAAAGCACTACAAACCATCAATAAAAATATAAATAACAATAGTAATAGTTTAATAATGATAATTCTAAATCATGTTTAGATGAGATAGGCAACCATTACTTATCTACTAAATCCCTTGAAAGTGATAAAATCATCTTAAAAATTAATTGTTAAAATGGGTGGAGAAGAGAACCCAAGGCAGCTCAGAGAGCTCCATTCTATCCTTACAACAACAACCGTGCGACTGGCCAAAGTCCCCCCTAGTGAGTTTCACGGCTGAGTAGTGACTAGAGCCTGGATCTCCCAGGTCCCCAGTCCAACGCTCTAACCACTACACCACATTGGCTTTCTGATGTGCAAGCCACTCTGGGAGCCTTTTTAGATGGAGGAAAGGGATAATGATTATGCTAAAAAGTGTGGGCTGAGGTTTTCCTAAGAGCTGAAGGATGCACAAGTTTTGTGGCTTGTATTTCCAAAAGCAATATTCTGTCTGCCGCACACAGCCGTTGGCTTCTGTGCTCATCCTCTCTCTTAAGGCACGTGATAGAATGAAAGCATCTCTCCCTCTCCTCCCATTAGGAGCTCCCTGTTGTCTTACAGTGTCGGGTAGTGAGGAATTACCATATGTAACACGTAGAGGTGCTTGCCATTTTCAGCAGAGAAGCAAGTGTATGTGTCCCCGAGCTTCTCCAGCATAGTTGCACAGGAGATGATAATGGGAGCGAACAATGTGTTGATGCTGTCCTCCAATGCAGGGGTCTGTCGGGACAAAACAGGAACAACAGGCATGGTACTTCCTGCCAAAAAACATTACGCCCTACCCAGCCCTGACTTCCTTATCTTCCCATGCTCACAGTCTCTATGCAGCCATTATGTAATTCCCTCCCAGCTACATTTTTGGGACATATCTATGTAAATGTAGATGAGAAAAATGTCCTGCAACTCCCAGTATGACTGGGTGGGGAATGCTGGGAATTGTAGGACTTTGTCAAAATATACACAGGACTGTTCCATTAGACAGCCCCACAGTCAGTTCCCAAATTTCCCCCAAAATATATGCACCCTATGAGGTACACCTGCTTTCTCACTCCAGGAATATATATTTCTGGATTTGGGTTAACAGCTTTCCTCAGTACTGAATGCAATAAGAGAGATCCCATTTTGGCCCTGCATCTATTTACCCTTGTCCTTCATGAGTAAATTTGGATTGTTGTAAACTGCTCAGAGAGCTTAATAATAATGACCCGTCCTTGGTCAGATCTCACCTCAGTGCCACTTGGATCATGGCCTCCAAAGCGCTCCTGCAGGATTGCCATGAAATCTGGGTCAGCCCAGTAGAAGAGGACTTCCGCACCCTCACTGCTAATTAGTACACACTTCATCTGTAAGGAAATATGCATGGGAGCACATCATTTTCCAATATGTTATCCAGTCCCTGCAGACCCAATATTTTTTCTCCCTCATCTGAAAATCACTTTTGCTGTGTAACAAACCTCCAAAAATGATGCATCCACTATGAGATGCAAAAAGAGGCAAGGGGATCAAGGCAGTAAATTTGAGATATTACATCTACTTCAAGGAAGGGAATTAGCCTATACCCTCAAAACTGTCAAGAGTGTGAGAACATGCATGCACATGTGCATGGTGTGGAAAAATGTTTCAAAAAAGTGAGAACAGCCTACCACAAAAAGTTAGTACAGGAAAGCCAGTAAAGACCAATCAGCAGCATTCCTATTGCAACTTCAGCATCAGTTCAGGGGTCTTTCAGCTGAGGCTTTCATCACATCAGTGTGAGAGCCAATGTGGTGTAGTGGTGAAGAGCATGGAACTGGGACTTAGGTGACCTGGGTTCTAGACCCTGTTCAGCCATGGAGCCAATAGGGGGGACTTTGGGCCAGTCAGAGACTCTCAGCCCAATCTACCTCACAGATTTGCTCTTGTGGGGATACGATTGAGTGCAAGAAGAGGAGAATGATGTGTGCCGCTTTGAGTTCTTTAAAAGAAAAATGGCAGGATCTTTTTTTTTTAATCACCACCTTGCTTCATTTTTATGGAGAGTCCCAAGAGCCAACATCTGTAACCCTTGCAGGGTCCTCCCACCACCTCTTCCATCTTTTCTCTTACCACGAACAGTTCAAAAGAAAAGACAGAATAGCTGTTCAATGCCTTTTGGCTTCTAATGCTAGCAGTCCTCCATCTGGAAGTATGAGGTTGGAAGTCCAGGTTTTTCTTGTGTATTCTTTCCTTCTCCCATTCTCCAAAGAAGTGGCTAGACTTGGCAGAAGGTGCTTTTGCACAGGGGAACATTACACAGGAAACACATTGGAATAGTTTGGATGCTCCTGTACCCCACTGCCAAAATGCACCCTCCTGCTTCTTTACATCTTTAAAGATGTTTCTAATCTCTGGAGGAATGCTGAGATAACTGAAAAGCAGTCATTCTTTGTGCATTTCTTGTCCCCCGCCCCCAGGATAGGCTAAATGTCCTACAAGTTTATGTCCAACCATTCACAATCCTTCAGGCAGCATCCTTTGAAGGCACAGCTGGAACACTTGATCAATGGTTCTTGATGGTATAAAGGGAATGGAAGGAATGAGGGGGCAGGGAGAACTTTTTATTGTTTGAAAGGAAGAAAAAAGCAGGAGTGTCACAATCATAATCCATCAAGAACTCCTGCAGTGTGCAAAATGAGGACTCCTCGCAACATTGCATAAGCAAATGGGTGGTGATCGTCTAATGATAGGAGTGCACAACTTGTTGCCCTCCAGATGTTTTGGCTTACAACCCCCATGGGCCCTAACATTGCCTATGCTGCCTATGGCGATAGGAGCTTTAGCCCAAAACATCTGGAAGGCTGCGAGCTGTTCACCCCGGCTTTAAGCAAACGAAGCCCTTCAGAACACGGGAAATCCAGAGTAACCGTGTGCGGGGCCCGACTCACGACTGCACCCCCCCCATAGCTTACTACAACAAAATGAAATTTGCCAAAATTAGAGCTGGGGGGGGGGGCGGACAAGAAATACAAGTAGCACGAGTCTCTGCAACAGAGTTGTGGGATGATGTCCGCTGCGGTGCGAACACCAAGTTCCTGCAGCCACCCGCTTCGCCGCCGCCGAGCGTGGGTGGTGGTGGAGCACTTCCAGGCCGTGAAAGAGCCCGCCGCGCAGTGCAACCCTACCTTATCCTTCCCGGGACACGGCGGGGCAGATCGCGAACTCCGTCCTGCACTCTTAAAATTACCCGGAAGGGGCCATGTGGGCTAGTGGGCGATCTAGTCCCAAACGCGAGCCCATGCCGCCGAAAGTGTCCTTCGCGAGTCCAACCCCGGCCGCGCGCGTGACTCAAGCAGGGGAAGCCATGTGAGCAGCAGCTCCGCCCGGACAGGGCAGGGCCCGGGAACGCCGCCTCCCACCCACCTCCGCGCGTTGTTAGGTGCTTCGCCTGCCTCCCTTCGAAGGGACCAGCGCCCAGCCTCTCGGGCAGGCGGTGGGAGAGGTGGGAGAGCGCCCGCCCACCCGCTCGCCCCACAACCGGACTGACCGGTCTCCGCCGTGAATTGACCGTGCCGCTTCGCCTGTGCTCGGAGAGGCGGGGCCTTTTGTCTATAGCGGAGGCTGCGTGTCAGACGTGGAAAGAAGCCGAAAGGCACCGTAGCTTTTCACGGATAGAGACAGGCTGTGGACCGGCATGACTCCGTCCCGCATGCACGAGGTTGGAAGAGCGGGGTCACTCTTCCTGAGGGTGCTGCTGCTTTCTCCTGGGTTTCACCTGCCAGCTGCGGCAGACAAACAATATACAAAGTGCAACTTGTTGGGACGTAGAAGCACAGATGGGAACGGCGCAAAACGGATCACTCCGGTGGCTAGAGAGGAATCCTCCCTTTTCTCCGCCGCCTCATGACAGGTTGATCTCCCCGCGCTGTTCTTCGTAAGCGCCCTCCATTCTGTCCCCTTGTGAATCTTGGACGGCAGCTTCACACCACTATTCCTTCTCTCCATACAATCGGGTTATCAGTCTCCTTACTTACCTCATGCAATGATGCCTTGCCCCAGTTTAATGTGTGTATGTGTTGACCCATCCTGACGCTCTAACTCAGTGGTGTTGAACTGTCAGCACTAGACCAAATTAGATTTTGGAGACGCTGCTGGGGACAATGAAGCAGCGGGACCAACATACAACCCCCTCCCCCAGTGCCACATTGTATTTTAAAGTTCTTCCAGTCAGTAGCAAAGTGGTAGGAGAGGAATTTAACCTCTTTTAAATGGGAGGAAAAACAAAGCACTTAACAATATCAGTGGCTAGAGGAAAGGGGAAAGGCTATCTGGAAAACCCGAGACCAGACTAGACCTTCAGGAAGGCCTACTTTGACCCACAAGTCTCAGTTTCCCTACCTTTAGTCTTACAACTAACTGCCCCTTTCCGCTGGTTACCTTCTCTGCCATTTGCTATGAAACTCCTGGAGTGAGCTGCTGTCTTGACCCCTTACAAAACTGGCTTATTCACTCTGTTCTGCTGCTCCTCTTTAGTTTCTCCTTTAGTGCTTAAGCAACCAAGAGCCTTGCAGAATTTTGTTCATGATGTAAACTTTCATCTTTTACAGATTTATTGGATGTGTATGTACATGTACATAGGTGGTGGAGAGGAACTGTAAACACAGAAGTGAGTAGGAACTGAGATGCAGGAACTACAGTCAGCCTTATTAACAGTGGCCATCCACAGAACAGTTGTTGGGTAATAACATATCCTAACTGGATGAACCAATTAATAATGTGCAAGCACTCCTCTGCTGGGTGGGGGTGGGCAGTCCTGGATTCTCTTCTCATTTTGCTGTCTTCCTACCTGCCTGAAGATGTGAAGCTGACTGGTATGGGTTCCAACTGGCCTGCTAAAGTGGAAGTGGTTTCTCATCTAGCTAAGACCAAGAAGGACAGGTTGCTTACCTGCAATTGTCCTGGAGTGGCCACCTGCACACTTACACGTATGGGCAAATGTGCCTGTGCAGAACAACATTTGGAACATTCTAGAGATAAACAGCACAGCTCTCACCTGCATCCCAGTTCCAGATCCTTCAACAGTGGAGGAAAACAATGTGAGGCATCAAGTGGGGAGGAGGGTAGGTTGTGTGAATGCACGGAGGACCACTCAAAGAACTGCAGTTATGGATAAGCAGCCTGCCCTCCTCCTCTGTGGTCTCTATGACTCACATAGATGGGTGGGTACAAGTCCAAGGTCTTACCAGGGGACTGAGATATCATGTAAGGATTGAGGAAAGAAGAGTCCTGCTGAAGGAAGAACTATTTTGGGCTCTGACATCTAAGTAGTGGGGCTTAATGAGTTGATGTTGACCCCAAGTGGCTGTAGTGCAGAGCTGCAGTACTGGAATTCCTCTGGTGAATGCCACTGCAGAGGCTAGTGAACTCACTTGGAGAGAGGGTGGTAAGTGAGCCAGTTGGTAAGTCAGAAGAAAGGTTCATGTGACCCATTTTTGGTTAGGCATTGAGAGGAAACCAGTTGGAATTCCTCAGTCCTGAATGGCAAATGATAACACAGCTGGTCTTCCTAAAAGGCAGTGTTCTGATCATGGAGAAAGCAAGACTTATGACTCCATGTGTAAAGTGAACAAAGTCTAGCCTCCAGCCGGGATGTTAGGTGAGAGAGGAACACCAGCAGCTTTATGTCCTGGTTTAAGTGAAATTGGGCTACAACTTTATGAAAGAGCAATTAGGTCTTTGTGAAAGTTGAAGAAAGGCAGCTCATATTGTAGAGAGTTTGGAAGGTCTGTATGCAGAACTAGGAACATGGTTTTCATTGTTAAAAGATAGGTTCCATTCTGGCTGGCGGTTCAAATAATTTAGTTATTAGTTGGATTAAAGAGACTCCATGGGGGAGTCAGGACTGTAGTTGGACGGTATAAATTACTCAGGACTTATGGAACCATTTTATGCATTGGTGTAAGAACATCAATCAATTATATTGTGCTAGGTTGATATTGCAGCAGTGTATACTCTGATGGACAAGTGACCTAGGCCCTTTGTTTTACATGATAGAAAGAAGTCTAGAATGATTGGTATGTCACAGTAAACTGGCCCATGTATAGTTACGAGGGCAAACTTGTGCAAGTGTAAAGTTTGTGGGAGACTGTATTTCTATTGCCTAGATAAAGAATGAATGCAATCAAGTACACTAAAGCAGTAAAGTAGAATGAGGGAAGATCTGAATGTTGAATCTGTCTGTCTGCTCAATGAGACATGGTCTTGTCTGTACGGCAGGTGAATAATTGTGTAGTTGAAGAGCAGGCACAGTTGGGTGAACCATAATTGTTGGGGCCAGCAGTACATTCCATCATCCTGAATCTTGTTTACCACTTTCATGACCAGTGAAAACAGAGGAAGGCATAGGTTACCTGCAACCCCGAGTGTGTGAGGAAGGCATCTCCTAGAGGATTTGGATTATAACCCACTCTGCTGCACGAGTGAATGGCAACTGGGGTTATGCAATGCAACAGTCCCAGAGACTGAAAGGAGGCCATGAGTGGAAGTCCACTTTTTTGTTATGGTATCGGGGAACTAGTCCATCAAGTGGGAACAAATACAAATTCTGTGGCAGTGTATGAATGTATTCCACAGGTTCACTTTTTCTTTTGTTTTCAGTCCTGAGGCCCTTAGAATTGCTGGCATTTCAAATGGGATTTAGTCTGTTTGACTTTGTGTTGACCCTAGACACTGAAAGGCTGATCTCAAGCAGACGGTCCAAGGAGACAATTGAAAGTGGCAGTATTGAGCATGTGGATGTCTGCCAAGGGGCAAGCTGTTGCATCCTCCGTAAGGTCAGATGGTGGTTGAAGCAGTGTGTAAGGACCAAGTTTTGTGTGGCTGAATCTGCCACTTTCAAGACTCATTCCCAAAGAGTACAGAGGCACAGCAACCAATTTCTCCCGGCTTGTTTAGTAAAGGCCTTGCAATGGGGGCAAGGGTCTTTTTCATGGGATTCTTGGAGTCATGGAACTCTTATATGTTTGTGAGAAAGTGAGATCTTCAGGCTGCAGTAGGAGCACTTTCAGAAGAAGGCCTTGAAGACCATGTGCCTCTTAGGGGGTGGGGGTGGAAGGAAGGAAAGGGAAAATAGGACTGAAAAGGGAATAAGAAATAATCTGCTTAATGCCATAGAGGACAGGAAGGAATAACAAAATTGAATATGGAAAGGACTTCATCTTTTTTGACCATGAGGCAGAGAATGTTTCAAAGTGCTACTTTGCTTCTGTGGAAAGAAAGGAATTGAAATGCAGATAGAAGCTACACCTGGAACATGCACATCTGGAGCACCCACCACAAAGTTCTTTACCTCTGGAATATTCCAAATACTCTTCTGCACAGGTGTATTTACACATATGTGTGAATCACAGAGATCATAAAGAAAAGACCATTTTTTTTTAAACATTGTACAACTCAGCCCCACCAGTGGTTCAGCATGGCATTCATCCAGCACAGAAAGGAACAGAAGGTTTAACAGTTTTAAGTTCCAGTGCATTACCTTGAACACTTTTGAGTGAATAAGACAGTATAGAAATATTGGTCAGAAATGATGTTTGGAAATTAGGATAGGCCAGCTGTCAGGCTGAGCTAGTGCATAATGAACCTGCCCACAAACCACGGAAGTTGTGCTGACCCTCAAAACATAGCAGCCATTTTTTCATGACAGTAACACCTCCATCGTAGTTGCTATAGAGCTGGGACTATGTAGAAGGTAGAGTAACTAGGGATGGTGCCTATTCTTTGAAATGCTTTGAAGTACTAAGTGAGCTTATAGGTCCGGCCCTATTCTGCCACTACTTCCCTTGCCTATTCTTGCCCATGTAATATGCACTGCAGAGTATTTAAGGCATGTAAAGGTGCAGACACAGCTACCAAGAGCTTCCTGGACCACCCAAGTTGAAAGCTATTGTGTTTTCAGCAAAAGAGGCCCTGCTTGTTTGTCTCTGTTCACAGGATGTCGATCCTCACTTGTGTTCTGCTTGGTTGTAAACTGTGGTAAGCACTTGAGAAACTTTTCATAGCTGACAACACAGGAAATATAAAAGCTGATTTTCGATAAATGTAGGGGGAGAAAGGGGTGAGTGGGAAAAGAAAGCTGCAGTGAGCCCAAAGTAGCTTGTGATTATGTAGTGGAAAGGGGGCAGCCAGTGCCAGCCACTCCCAAGTGCCTTTGGGGCAACTGGCACCTACCAGGACACATTGGGCAAGAACAGCAATGGGTTCTTGCTGCTTTCCAAGCAAATTGGAGCCAGTTCCCTGTACTCAGGATGGGGTCAATATCCACAGTTCAGGGACATGGAAACCACCATGGGTAATACAACCCTAACTAAAAACAATGGCTTGTCAGGGTGGCTTGTTGCTCTCAGCTGGGGTTTACATATGACAAGATATTGTGGGCAGCAGCCCCTGAGGATTTATCATGTTGTGTGGACCCCATCAGTAGTTTAAAAAGCAGAGAATCACAGAGATGGAAAGAAAGCTAACTTCACAACCTTTAAAGGTATTCTTGAATGCGATGGCTCCTTCAGTTATGAGCAAATTATTTTTAAGAGTTTTGTACTTTAAAGTTGGTACAAGAAAATAACAAGAATTCAAAGGAGAAATTTGTTCTCAAAAGTGTCAGCTGCTAAGAAACTATAGTTGACACTTCTGAGAACGTTTCTGCCTCGCCTTCTTTCTAGTTTCTGTGTCCTTCTGGAAATTTTGGGATACAAGGTTAGTGTATATACTGGTATAGCAAGATGAAAAAGTAAGTAATAGCATTAAAAAATCACATGTCAGTTTAAAAACTCAGCTGTGGTATTTTTTGTCTGTGTGAACACCTTTGCTTCTGACCAATTGAATTTAATTTCAGAGCACTCTATTTCTAATTGTAATAAAGTTTTGCTTGCTTTACCAGTATCTGATTTAAGAGCACTGCATGAAGGTGAACTATCTTTAATGGTGTTTAATCTAAAAGGCTAGTTAATCATATATATCTCCAAGAATGCCTGTGACAGGGCTGATCTGTAGGTCGGTTTCCAATGAAATTCCAGCCAGAGTATATGGCTGCTGCTGGGAAACAGACAGGAACACTGATAAACCAAAACAAGTCTGGTTACTGTTGAGAGCTGGTTGGAATGCAAATGCCAACTGTAGGGCTTGCTGGGACCACCCAGGCTCCAGGGTGTTGCAACAAAATGATGCTAGTAACTTTCATAATATATTATAATATCTATAATATATTATAGATAATATATACAAAGCAGTCATTATGAACCATGTTTGTTCAGTATTGTAATTTTCATCACTCCTCTGAGAGGTAAGGCCCCCATCTCCTAGCTCTTCCAAGTATCTTTTTCCATTTGTCAGAAAATATAATTTAATAATTAACATTTACAGTGAATGCTCCTAAAAGGCAGCATTATTGACAGTGGCCAAGACCAAACCTCTCTTTCTTCTCCCCCACAATTCTGCTGGACTCAAATAGCTGCAGATACCCCAGTGGTTCTTAACCGGGGTGACATAAGCTACCCGTCTTTTGTCTGCAACACAGCTAGCTGCTTCTGTCTACAAGAGACTGTTTTGGCTCTTGTATCTCCATTTACCTTGTGCAACTGCCTTTTATTTGCATATTCTGTGTGCTTCATCTAATCATCGACAGCTACATAACTTGCTCCACTGCCAGCTGCCAGCAGGGGGCACAGCACCCACAAGAATAAAGCCTAAAGGCCTGGATAAGATTCTGAGGTTCTTCCTCTTGATAGTCTTCCCTAGCGACTGGAGTGATGGATGCATCGTGCACTTGCATATGCTTATTAAATACAGCCAGGGACTCTTCTTTGTCTCAGAGCCTTTTCAGCTGCCAACAAGGTGATGCAAAGTTCCCACTCTATGATAATTCTCTCCGCAGAAGGTTTTAAATGTTCCCCGGGTTGTTAAGAGAAAGGCAGCACAGACAGTTTTCCCTGGACCAGTCACCTTGCAGACGGGTCATCCTGCTCTACTCTCGCAAGTTTCTCCAGCAGCATTTTGGTATTTTGCATTTCGGTGGGATACCTTGTGGGGCAATTCCTGCCAGCTGTGAGATAATTTCCTTCCATGCAAAACTGGCTTTGACCCGTCGGATGAGAGTGCTCTTCCACATCTTCTCCAATTTACTGTGGCGTAGCCAAGGCAGCTGGTGGTGTCAAGAATGTAACAGCGTGCCATCCATGAAACCCCTGCAGTTAGCCAGTGCTTGCAGGCAGCCCACCAAGTTTCTCGGAGGCTTTTGCACCTTCATTTCCCTATGAAGTCTGCCACACCTCCCTGAGAAGCAAGCACTTGCCAAGAGATGCCCCAAGAGGGCCTAGCAGGTCTGTCTTTGGCAGGATGATGGGTGGAGCTACCGATACCGGCAAGCCAGAGCATTGACATTCTTCACCACATAGAAACTCATAGTCAGTGGTGGGATAACCAGGGTCCGGCCAGGACGAAGTGGGCGAGGCTTCGGATTGGGCAGGGTCCCATCCTCCATCATAGTGAGTAGCTGCCCATTAAGCTGCACTGACCTGCATGCAAAGAGGAAGTGCGTGAGAAACCTTTGGAGGCTGGCCCCGTGCCAGGGCTTTGGAACGGCTATAGGAGTTGATGATGTACCAGAAATACAGAAATATCCACACCTCCAGGACTAGATGGTGCCTAGGCCCTGAAGGTCATTTGAGGGCCCAGGGCTGGGACCTACCTTGATGGTAACACTGATGCCATTCTAGCAGACTACACTTTTCCAAACATCGGGCTAGGAATTGCAATGTTGGGTGAGAGCAACAGCAATAAATAATGCTCAGAAACAGACGTGTGGGTGTGCCGATCGAAGTTCAAAAATGAATACAGCTGAGAGACCTCCTTGCAGTGCAAGCAATTACATTGTAATCTTGCATCTCTGCACCTTACTGTCACACCGTGTCTCTGACAATGCCTTCCCCAGTTAATCTGGGCAGATGCTTAAGGGATTTGTGCACCTGTGCACCTTGCTAAGTGTATTTTTATCTTATAGCCCCTGTGCTTCTGGCATTAATCTCCGAGAGGGAAGTTCTTTCTTTCTTAACAGTAGAACTGGGAATCATCCAGTGAAGCTGGATGGTGGGAGATTCGGTGGATGAAAGGGAGTACTTCTTCACACAACACATACTTAAACGTAAGGAATTTGCTACCACGTGATGCGGTGATGGCTGCCAACTCTGACAGAGTTAAAAGCGTTTAGAAAGATGCATCAAACATGCATATCCGTGGTTACCAGTCATGATGCCTATATGTTACGTCCAACATCAGAGGCAGTACCCCTTTGAAAGTCAGTTACTGGCAGCACAACAGGAAAGATGCTATTGCGTTCATGCACTGCTTGTGCATTTTCCATTGAGGTAGCTGGTTGGCCAGCATAGAAAGCAAGATGCTGGGCGAGACAGGCTTTTGGGCTGATCAAGCAGGACTCATCTTACATTGTTATTATTCATCTAATTTAGCATAAAGTACAGTAAATAAAGAATATGCTAAGAGTAGCTAACTGAATTGCTTGAAATCTTATTCATGCATTAGTCCTAGTAAAGCAATAGAAATGTTGTCAGGCATGTATGGATTATTGGGAAAATACTTCATCAGCTTGATATGCCATGAGTTAGATGAAATTATATACAGAAGTGGCTTCCACAGTGAGAAGCTATTGGAAAAAAAGGAGAAAGAGAAAAAAGGCCCATGTGGCATTATAGATGCTAACAGATTTATTGTGATAATAAGCTGCTGTGTCAGAACAGAAATGGAAGCAAAGGGATCTCAGCAAATCAACAGTAGGCAAAGTCAGCACACAAAGGGGTGGTGCAGGTTCAGGGGGTTAATTTGGGGGGGGCAATGTAGGATTGATGCCTGAATTAGCAGTGCACCTTTTGCAAGGTGCTAGTTCTAGTGAGAATGATTTTGGGAGTCAGCTGAGGACTCGCTTCTGCCTAATGCCTCTTCCCAGTTCCTACCAGAACAACCCTGCTCACCTAGAATGCAGCTCCTCCTGACCATAAGGCTGCAGCACATACTGATGGACGAGTTTGTCTCGAAGGGTCCCCACCAACTTGATTTTCTTCCTGGACCGATGGAGATTGATGATGTAAAGCGTGATGGAACCACGGACGTAATTATGGCTGTGAAAGAAACAGAGGGGCTGAGGCTGAGTCTTATGCATGCCTCCTAAAATACTCCAATGATGTGTTAGCTCTAGGAGTGAAGATTTCCCTTAGTGGTCACCAGATCCCAAGGCAAAATCATTCCCTTTCACAAAGACCATGGTATGGACCAGTTCACAGAAGCTTTTTCCTTAATTGAATTGCATAGCACTCCCTTATCATTTTTTTATTTTTTATTTTTTGCCCTCTCCTTTACAAAGAAAGGTTTGGTTAAAGAATGGCTCCAACATATTTTACAGTGGTTGTCAAAGTGTTTTTGTGTGGCCCTAAAACGGTTATCACTCCTACGTCCTCAATGCACTCGGGTTTTTATCTTTCCAGGATGGTGGATGTATGAGAATGGTGTGGCCAGAGGGCCTAGCCTGGGTTCTAAGACAGGCCATGAAACCAAATGGCTGTACCCATTAGGAAAGGGCTGTTACCCAAGGATGGAGTTCCACAGGGGGGCTCCCATCTGGAAAAAGAAGAGGCAATGTTAAGTAGGCACTCTCTGCTCCACAACCACTCAGTGGCCCATAGTGTGTAAGTGGACTGGGGAAGTAAGGGTGAAAAGCTGGCAAAGGAGTCCTATCTCCCAGCAGGGAATTAAACTGGATGGCCTTCAATTCTATCATTCTTTAACCAAGCCATTTTAACCCAGGAAACATGGAATAACTAACTGGCAGTGTGTGAGGTAGCTGCATCTACCACATTCCTGACTAACGGGACAATCAACACTCACCCAAGTCTGTGACATGTATTCTAAAGCCAGCTATTCACCATGTTTTAATAATTATATCCCATCTATATCCTGCCTTTTTTTCCTCTTGGGAGGAACCCAAAGTGGTTTACATAGTCCACTCCATTTTATCTTCACAGCAACCCTGTGAGGTTCATTAAAGTGAGACTGAGTGACTGGCCCAACATCACCCAGTGAGCTTCATGGCTGAGTAGCAACTACAAATGATCTGGCAGGTCCTCAGTCCAACCCTAGCCACTGCACCACTCTGGCATTGTAAGCAAATCCCCTTGATTCAGCCACCATGTGCAGCTGATTACCTCATTAAGGCTGTACAAGGATGATCAACTTAGGGAGTAAAAGGAAGCTCTGATGCTCTGTGCTGGGGCACACTGGAGAGTGAGCAGGGTCCGCTGGAGTGGTTAAGAGCATTGGCTGAAAGCTCAGCTACAAGAATTGGAAAGCTGGCCTTGGGCAAAGCCACTATTTCTCAGCCTCCATCTGGAGATAAGAACATTGGTCTGTTAGCAAGACCTTTGTAAGGTTTACTAAAATAGCATGAGGCATTTGGAGCTGTATAAATATTATTTCCCTAGGCAAGGTCTTCAGAGTACTCCTGCCCATGGGTCAAAGTTAGGGAGAAATGCCCAAAGCAGAGAGAATGTCCTCTGTTCGTGACAGGCACTCACTCCTCCAATTGCCCTGGATATGGGATGGTGCCAAAGGGCTGCCCACCTGTGCCTGCTTGCCTTCTCTTCCCCACCTGTCCTTGTCCCTCTTGCCAGTTACCTGTCAGTCCCTGGCCAGGGTTCACTCCAAGAGGGGGAGGCTTGTTGAAAGCACCTGAGCGGCGTGAGGAAGCAACAATAGGGACCTGTGTGCACAGGGAAGTCCCAGGCGCTGCACTTGCAAGACTTTGAACAGGTTTATCATAGAAATTCTAGCTGAGTTGGTGCCCCAAGTCAGGGTGGGGGGAGGGTGAGAAGGAACTGAAACCAGACCCTGGGGCCTTTAGGGAAATGCACTCCCTTGATCTCACCCCGATAGGAGTTATGTCACAAAGGCTCACCCCAGACCCAGGAATAACTTCTCTTCCCTATCAACACCATTCTACACTCACCCCTCTCCACAACCTGAGCAAAGTCTGATGCAAAATGGTGCACACTAAGGAAAAAAGAGGAAGAACGGCAACTGTTTCTCCCCCCATAGGAGAGCCTTCCTGACCCAACCCTTTTTATAGTAAGAAATGGGAGGCAAGGCAGGGCAAATGCAAAACATGCCACCTTACCTTTATGAGTATCCCTGACACATAGGAGCTCTGGAGGATGGAGCATGCAAGAACTCTGTCTTATATGGGACCTACAAGAGGTGATATTTCCTTCTAGAGGGTGCAACCGGTGTTGAGTAAACCTTCTTGGGTCTTTTCGTCACCAGCTCCCTGGCCTCCCACCTCTGTGGAAAGAGCTGTGCCCACCTGATGTGGTAACTCACTTGTGGTAGCTGGTGCAGTGTGCGTAGATGCGTAACTTATCACGAATTACCCGGCCAGGGCGAGGTTTCCTTTGCAGTCCAGCCACGTGCACGGCAAGCACTCGGGGCCCAACGAGCCGCTTGTAGAGCAGGGAGAGCCAGTAATCCTGCCCGCAAAACACAGATGGTTACTCTAAGGATAAACCCCTTGAAAAGATGGCATCAAAGGGAAGGGTCTCAGGCCTCCAAGTCTATTCTAGCTTGCTGCAGATTCAAGCAACGTGCAAAATATTCTGAAGAGACTTCTGTTTTTAGAAGATATGGGACAGAACTCTGCTAATATTCATGGCCATGTAAAGGGAAGACTATTTGGGCTGTGCAGTTTTCCTGTTTTAAGAGAAGCAGCACCTGTGTGAATTCTCCCTTATTCAAAAACTTTCAAAAACAGGAGTTCTGTCCAACATAGGGCCTTACTGCTCTACAATGAATGAGGGTCTGTTATGCCATGCAGGGAGTTTTGCAAGATGACCCTGGGGGTTCCTTACACAGGTGTGTTTAGAGACAGAAGGTGTTGGAAACTGTGTGAATTGGATGACCTGTCATACAATCCTATTAAGCAGACGTGCCTGTCTCCTGGCAGAGCCATTACAAGATGCATTCCCAGGGGCCCAGTACAGCTTTACAAAGAGGCCAGGGCTATGAAATTGTGCACTAACCACATGGTGAAGAAATGTTGCTATAATCTGGCAAGTGGCTGCAGTATAACGGTCCCTTCACTTAGAGCCCCCTGAGAGCGCTCACTGGCAAAAACCAAAGGACATGAAATGTCATTTGTGGTTCTTCTCTCCATACTTCATGTCCTGTTCTTTCCAGAGACAAATGTTCATGCCTGCAAATGAGATGCAGCCCAACAGCAAGGGTGTCCTCAGTCTGAAGTATGAGAACAAAGCATACTCAGGATGCCTGTGCAAGGCAGGCATTGTGTTACTCCCATCCGAGGTCCTAGAAGCCCTAAGTTCTCCATTCCCACAATACAGGAATCTTGTCTCGCCCTTATTTGCATGTTCTGCAGCAGAGATGGAAGACTATTTCTTTTTAAAAATAGTCAGAGAATCTTGTGAAGAATAAAATCATAGTCAGCTATCATTCTCCAGGGCACAAGTGTCAAAGTGCGATTCCCATTGTCAAGTCAACATGGGCCATGGTGGCCAGGGACAATGGGAGTTGTAGTCTAACACACCTGGGCACTGCAGGTAGAGAAAGGCTTAGTTGCATATTCAGGAATGGAAGGACAGTACTGTCATCTGTTATAGTCACAGGCATGTAACTCTTTCCCTCAGCTGCCAGAAAGACAGAAGGTACATTGTCCTGTCACCACTCACCTTTCACTGATTATTATGATAACTTATGAGGGGAAAGGATGCTGCATGCAATGCAGAGCCAGATAGACCAGTGGCCTGGTTTAGTTGAAGGCAACTCCCTTTGTTCCCTCATTCAAGAGATTGTTTTTCCCTGGGTTCAAATTGGGCCCCAGGTTTCTGAGTAGCAACTTGAGTCAGTATGTGTTGGTGAAAGACAATCCCAAGACATTACAGCCTTGTGGTTACCTTCAGCTCTGGCATAAGAGCGCCTTACAAACAGGAAAAAAACCCTGTTTCTGTTTTTGCACAATTGCTACTGCTCAAACCCTTTGCTGTCCACAAATAATCCTCAATGCTTGTACGAGGGGGCAACAGGGTATGCATTTCCCATCCTGCTAAAACTGAACTTGGGGCCAAACTAGGCTTGGAAGCCTTCCCTTTTGCTACTACTTCTATGCTGCCTAACAATAGGATACCCAGCTGACAGTTGTGCATCAGCTCATGAAGTGACAAAGGGAATGGAGTCCCCTGCAAAAAGAAGAGCCATTCCTTGTGCGTATGGTTATTTACACACACACGAGAGAGAGGAGGAGGGAGGGAGGGAGGGAGGGAGGGAGGGAGGGTGTCTGGGTATATTCTAGAAGATGTTAAGTGGGACAACAGGCTCTGTGTGTCCTACGGAACCTAAACCATTAATCAGCACAGGACTGCGCCAGAATGAGCCAAGCATGTATGTGACATGGCAGGAAAGGGATCTTGTCCTGCTGGCCGCTGGTGTATGCTGGGCAAGAACACAAAATCTCCTAGGCATGCACATGAACTAGAGCAATGACCAAGTTGTACCATATCATCACCTCTTCCTGACAGAGTTCAGACCATTGGGCTGGATGGGAACCGAGTTCAATTGTCATCAGCAGTCGGGGCTCTTTGGCTGATCTGAATGAGGCACTTTTTCACTTCATTCTATATATCCATGGCAAGTGGTGAATAGAGGTCTTTGCGACTCAGGATGCAAGTGCAAGGGATGTGGCAGAGCCAGCATCAATTGCCAGATTCAGTACTGTGGTACCTTCTGTTACAAGGGTAGCTACATGAGCAGCATCCGCCCTGGCAATCCAAAGGCCAGTAAGTCAAGCTGTTCTAATATAGATGTGCAGATGTGTGATTTTCTGTCTAGCAGGACTAGAAAACTCTATCCAATTGTACTACATACCGTCTGCTCATAGAAGATGGGACGTATTTGAAGACAGTGCCTTTTATATTTGATCTCAAACAGCAGCAGAACTGAAAGACATTCATCCTGGCAAGCTGAACTATCCCTGGATTTCTGAGCTACTTCAGAAGAGCCTGGGAGCTCAGTTATCATAGCTTCTGCATCAGCAGAGCATCTCTGGAGCTTGGGCATTCGCTTGGATGGTGCTGGATCTGCTATGCCATGGAAAGCAAAAGAACAGAGCTCCTGCAGGGCACCCAGCCCAAGCTCGTCACCAGCCAGGCCAAGGTAGTGATTGATGCCGTGGCTTCTCTCAGCATCTTAGGGTTTACACAAAGGAAAGACAGCATGTGGAAAAGTCTTTGTCACTAAGTTAGTGAGAGGATTCAGTTTCACATCCCAGTAGTCCTGCACGGGCCCAAGCTGCCGCTTTCATCTCACTGATAGCTCCCACGGGAAAAGAGAGCATGCCACACCTCACCCCAGCTTCATAGTCCGCCTGTGTTAAGCTTTGCCAATGCTGCCACTTAAAAAATCCTTTAGCAACTCATCTGTGCAATAAGAGGCAAGATACCAGCTAAAATGTATGGGAGATAGTAGAAAAAAGAAAAAAAAAGAAAACAGAAAACAGAAAAGCTAACTAACGAACTAACTTTATTTTTGAATGTAATAAATTAAGAAAGGGGGCACAAATGATAGAGTCCACTTCTATACTAGGACAATTGGTTTGAAATATATGGGAAGCTCTGCTATGTAGCTCCAGGAATGTGGACTCTTCAGGGGTCTCCACATTCTCAGTCTTCCTGGCACAGCAGTGAACAAAGAGAGGACTCGCACTTTGGTACTTAATTGGCAGCAGTTGTAACTTTAGTTGGGGATCCTATACTTCTGGTTCTTCTGCATATGCTGCCAAAGTGCCTGATAATTATCTGTAACATGCATTCCTTTCCCAGAATCCTCCAGTAAGTTATTAGGCAAGGCTTCCCCCTTCCCCATCTTCTGAAACTAGTCCTCATGAATGAAGCAGGATTCAAGTGGTGCCCCTCCTTTTTTTTTTCTGGAACAGAACTAGAATTGAGGTGAAGGAGGCGTATACAGCAAGAAACCCAGATCACATGTGTGGGTGCCATAATGTCCTTCGGTGCTATGGAACACCCACAGAACAATTGCAGCAGAAGCAATATAACAAAGAGGGCTGCTAACGTCCTTAATGCATTTTCCTGATGCATGAGGATGTGAAGCAAAAGAAGCCAGAATCAACAGCTGATTAGCTGGGAGACAACTGCAGAAGCCCATGGTCTCCTAGAGACTAACTGCAGAAGAATGCAAATGCTACACATCATTAGAGGCAGGAGTCAGCTTTGTGGCTGCCCTTCTGCTTTCCAGATCCCCACACAGCATTCCAGGGGCCTGCTGGCAGTGTCTCTCAGATTGGTACCCTGGACCAGGCTTGTAAATTCCTGGCTGGGGAGATCCAGAGCTTCTCAGTGCTGCCAAGAGTTCCACTTGCAAGGTGTAGAATTTATTAGACTGAAAAAGATGAAAAGAAAACCTGCTACTTTTAAAGACCTTTTACATACGGTTTCCTTATTAGGGTCCTGTGTACTTGGAACAGCAACTGCCTCAGCCTTTTTGAAGAACTACGAATGAGCAGGTTTGCATTAAACTGAAGGGAACTGCCCTGCTGTGTGAAGTTGTGAACTTCTTTCACCTTTGTTCCTATAAATCTAAACTTTGCTCAAGCCCATATTCCTGGCTCTTCAGCCTTTCCCTAAGGAGCCAATTGCTACAGCTTTGCTTGTTTCTACAGCATGTTTCCAGGACCCTATGGAACCCCTCTTGCCCTCCCCCGCCTCCTGTACGGTGCCTTGCATGGCCTTCCCCCAAGGAACCCCTGACGCTCTCAGTCTTGTGAGCCCCATGAGGGTCCCCTGGAGACTCTCATAGTGGACCAAGTTTCAGCTCCAGAGGTAACCTTGCCCCATCTGCTTTCAACATGTTCTGCCTGACATTAACTAATGTCTCCTATTAGCACTGAAAGAAACCAATCTGGAAAAATGTATTTTCAAGCAGAGTTCAAACAGGCCACAAGGAGCAGCGGATTTTCAGCTGCACATAGATTTTTGTTTTGTTTTGTTTTGTCTTTTTTTTTGTGGTGCAGCCAAGATTCTGAGGAACAGGTCAACGGTACAAAAGTCAAGCAGAAATCCTCTGATTTACTGACTGGTAAAAAGCAAAGGGAGAGGGAGAAACGCAGACTGATACAGCAGAGACATGAAGAAGGAGCAAGGGGATGAGTGAGGTGGGAGAAGAAAGGGGTGGTGCTGTGTTGAACTCAGTGAAAGGGACAGACGCTTCAAGGGACAAGACACAGATAATGGACGGGTGTGGGGAAGGAATGTGTGCAGGCTTGTGTGTGCTGCTGGTGGTGCAGCCATAAAACAGAAGAGAAAGAAGCACATCTACAGCAACAGAGAAGAAAGCAAATAGACGTTTAGGGTAGACTCCCAATAAGAACAGATTGGAAGGGGCAAGTTGAATGTGCTTAATACAGTACACACCTACCGGCAATGGGTTAAAGTTCTGGTCCACCAGATGGTTATGCCCATGGTCAAAAAATGAGTGTCGCATTACCACATCAATGCCCTGGCTGGCCAGCATTCCAAGAGAGTTCAGCCACCTGGCAAGCAAGAAGAAAACTCAAGCGCAAGCCTATACATATATATCTTTTTATAGGATCGCAACCCTATATGTATTTCACAGGCAGGAGCAAGCCACATTATCTTTCAAAGGGTTTCTAGCATTCTGCTCCCAGTCACAGTGCCTTCCAGATGTACCCGTTCAGGAATAATGACCTCAGAGAAACAGAAATGTTACAGTAGGTGTATAAACTGGTCTGTATTCTTATTTTATGGAGAATGCAGCAGCATGTGTCCCTACCCATACTTTTTTCTTCACAACTTCTCATGAAGTTAGTTCACACAACACACAAAGCCAGAGACCTGGCTGAATATTGGTTTCATTAAACCAAGGGTTGTTGTTGAATCATGAATTGCTGTGCTGTATGAACGCAGCCATACTAGCAAACCACAAACTATTTAAGTTTCACAATCAAAAAACAACCCATGGGTTTGCTTAATGTATTATTTGTGGTAACAAGCCATGGTTTATTAGTGCAGCTAATAAACAAGCCATGGTTTAATGATGAACCCCATTCAGCCTATAAGCTGGATTGTCATGTTGTACGAACCCAACCACTGACTGCTCTGAAGTCACTCTTAGCAGATACTGGGGTTGCTTCTGCAGTAACAGTTTAACCTGGAATTATTTTTGTCCCTTCACTTCAATCCAAATCAAGTCTAATAGACAATTATTGACAAGTTATAGCCAAAACAGTTGCAATCCAGTGTTTTCTGCATTGTGCCTTATTTTTTGGCAAATTTCATTTTTCACAATTAAAAAAATGCAGCATGTTTGTGCATCCATGTGCATGTGCAAGGTAGGGTTTGGTGTTGACTGGCAAAGCACCACTGAACCTTCCCCGGATTCCTATGACTTTAAATAGAAACTTTCTCTTTCTGGTTATTTGTAATTTCCTTTTGTTTGGTGCAACCAATAAATTGCCATTTAACTGCTCCTTCATTAATAAGTTCTTATTTTCTGGGAACTGTAATAATTGATTTCTTCCCATTTTTCTTTTCCTTTTATTGTAAAATAGTGGTATTTTGAAATTAAACAAAAAGAAAAATAATGGGAGCAAAATACACATGCACACTTATGGAAATAAGGGCTGATTAATTAAGGGACAATTAATCAATAATAAAGCTACCTCACTGAACAAGAAACTATTATAAGCAGAAGCCACAAAGAGGTAGGTTCTGATTAAAATTATCCCAGGATCTTTCCTAAAAGAAATTTTACTTTAGAATAAACATTAAAGGATTTCAGTCATGGACATTGCCAGGTAAAACAGTGCTACTTTAAATGCCACATGGAACCACTGTAACAGGCTTTTAACTAATTGTGGGAAAAAAAACTATGCCCCACCAGTGCTGAAGGGTTTCAGTCTGGAACAAACCTTGAATCCAAATCTAGCCAGTCTAAATTCACTCTGGAGGTGAGTGAATCAATCTTTTCCTAGTCTGAGTCCATTACACATGTATTATCTCACAAGGCTATTCCATCACCTTTCATTAATCTGCATTTGAAACAAAACTCTACCTGAAAATCCGCATGTAAATACTTGTTTAAATATATATATTTTACATATATTCCTCTCAAAATATTTATAAATGTATTTTCTGTCATGCATTTTAAATGTATTTTGATAAGTTTAAAATGCTGAGAATTACAACATTTGAAGAAGTGCAAAAGTTAGCGGATAATTAAACTCATAAGTTTAATTATGATCCACACATACAGTATGTTTTGATAAGATTAGTTCATATTGAAACTTACAAAGGTCAGATTCCTCAAGCCTCCATTCCCTATTCCAGGTTTCATATCTTGCCCACACGCACTAAGTCCCTATCCCTTTTGGCAATAGAAACTCAAGTGTTTTTCAAGGCTTAGATGCTAATGTAATACACTGTTAGGCAACTGGTGAAAACTACTTTTGGAAACAAGTTTAATGCTGTACATTCCCCTCTCCCTTCTATTAACAACTGTGTTGAATTGCTAAACACCATTACACAGATCCTGCCTGAGATCTTCAGTAATAGCCCCCCTCCTATGATTATCTGTGATGGTCCTTGAGGATAGAGAAAAGCAAAGCGGTTGCACAGAAATAAAATATAAGAGGCAATCCCATTTAGAATTCCATTCTTTAAAAAACAGCTGTAAGTCTGATTCCCTAGTTGCACACTTACTTGGGAGTAGTAAGCCCTACAGATTTACTTCTGAGAAATAAATATAATCAGTTGGTGTCCAGATGGCAGCCATCTTTTAATTATCTTCTCATCATCTAATGGAATAAAGTTCCCTTATCAAGGTTTTTTCATGCTAAGAACATGCACTGGGACTCTGTATTTCCATCAAGGATCAGCCACTTATCTGAAGGGCATTCACCTGTTTGCACATAGCAAGTCTTCCCCAGCAAGAACCCTGCAAGAAGCCCGTGTTTGCAACATGCTTCAGGGTATTTAAGCATGACCAATAGGATGTGGTCAAGTGGATCAGCAATGGAACCATGAAGACATGCCCTCTGCTGTAGTAATGTGGAAAGAAGCCCTCGGTAATAACTTACTATGAACAGTAAAGAGCCCTGTGGCACCATAAAACAGACAATTTATTGTGGCATAAACATCTATGGACTCTAGTCCAGTTCATCGGATGCATCATCTGCTCTAGCCTATGGAAGCTTATAGATTTGTAAATTTATATATTTGTCCAATTTCTATACTGCCCAACAGTTGAAGCTCTCTGGGTGGTTTTTAAATCTTGAATCTTTTAATCTTTTAAAGTGTCACACTATTATCTCTCCTGAGCCAGTTGCCAAAGACTCCTTCCAGTTTTTTATTTTCTTTTAATAAGTTTTCACAAGTGGCTGTTTTTCTTATTATATGAACTCTTCACAATCAAATAAAAACATTGTTTATGTAATATATATAACTGAGCAGAAGGTTCCAGTTCTATATGAGATCCTAAAACTGAGGGTTTTTTTTTTAAATGAACCTTTTACATGCAATCAGAGTTACTAATTATGAAATGAATGCAGTTTATCATTACAATGCAAACATCTTAAAAGATATATGTTAACTGTATCTGGCTCCACTAAGCATTATTAGGAATTATTTAAAATGCAAAGTATGTTACTATATGCGCCAATATAATGTGAACTGCTCAAACATGGTTTGGAACTCAACAATAATGTTGAAAGAAATACCCACCAGCAGACCTCCGCAATTGCACTCGCCACACCAGGTGTGGCGCTGCCCTCTGGGGAACGTGGGAAGCAGCTAGTCTTTTCCCAAGTTGGAAGGCAGAGAAGGGTGTGAATCATCTCAGAAGCCTTTCAGTAATTCCCACCTGTTCTCCAGCAAGATTGGGGCAAAGACTGAGGGATGTTTGTCAGCTGTGTGGCCAAACTAGCAAGGTCCCCAAACCTTTTCTGTTGCGCGGGGCAGGGTGGGGGGAACAACACATGGCTGCTACTAAATGAGTCATTATTTATTTATTTAGACAGCTTATATGCCACCCCCTTTGCATAAGCCTTGGGGTGGCTTACAATCATTAAAATCCCACATATAAATACAAAAAAAAATACATAGAATAAATAAAATACATAAAATAATGCTCTGAGAGCTGGCACCTAACATCAGCTAAAAGCCTCAGACTGCCAGCTCTTTTTCCAGCAGAAGAGGAAAGCAAGGGAAGGGCTTCTTCAGCTGTTGCTGAAGAACTCTGAGCCTGCATCTCAACACCTTCCTGGCAAGAAAGAGGCTGCCAGGGTGGTGGGGGAGGTTTAGCCATTGCTCAGTGGCAGTGAGGCTCAGAGCTCCCTGCTTTTCTTTCTACAGCAAAGAAAGAGAAATAGGTGGGATACTTCTTGGGATAGCACTTTTCAGAGAGGCTAGAGTTCCTCTGCTGAGCAATGACTGAAACCTGCATGTTGCTTGCTTCTGCTCCCTAAATATTGTTTCCTAAATATTAACTATTGCTTGTGGGGGGCATAGCTCTAGAGCTCCTCTGCTCTTCAGTAATTGCACTCACATGGAAGGGGAGGTTTTTTCCCAGCTCTTGCTCAGCAGAGGGACTCTGAACCTTTTGCTGAGCATCAGGTGAAGCCTGAATGCTTCCTGCCTGCCTTTACTTCAGGAAATGCTGGGGGGACTCCTTTTCTGTTAGCTGGAAAAGTCTGCCTTCATCAAGCCAGCAGTGGATTGGAACCTACTGACCACAATTTTTGGGTTGACTAGCAAGGCTAGCCAACATTTCTAGACCCCTCTTCACCTGCATATATAAATGAACCTGTCTGGGGAGGATGAGCCTATGTACTAATTCCTGTTGATGAAACTGACTCTAGCTTGTGGAACCCCATGTTCCCTAAGGACCCCTCTTCTGTGGACTTAATAACATAAGCTCCATCTCTGGAAATGCCCCATGTGACTTCCTTGTTTTCTTTTTATAAGATTTGGAAAATTGCCAATCGCGTTCTTCCTACCCCCCACCTTGAGAGCTTGGAGTCCATGACATCACCTTCCTGTTAACCAAGAGGAAAAGATACTCATTTTTTAAGCAGGAAGTCAATGAAAGCTAGTATGAAAAGTCAAAACATAGCCTCATGGACCCTGCATTGAGATGTGAAACCCTCAAAATCAATAATTTCACAAAATAAAGACAGGAGGAAGAAACCTTGACAATCACCACAAATGTGACATTCTATAACCAAAGGCAAACTCGGGCAGGGAATGTTCAGCCAGTCATCTCTGGGAACATGCTGCTAGCAAAGTCAAATGCAGAGCTGTGTCTATTCTGTGTTAATAAATAAAATTATGCAGCAATATCCCAAATCCCATGCCACAAAAGCTGGATTCTGTTACCTATATACATGATGCAATTTAAGCAGATGTGTGCTTATTTTGAATAACTGCTCTGATACTACTGTTACCGGGAAGGTCAAAGAGCTCCTTCCACCCTCTGACCGCAGAAAATCTTAGTCCATCCTTTTGCATTGGCGATATATTCAGGCATTCCTCACCCACTTTCAGGTCTATTACCAGCAAACATAATGGCCAGAACCTTGCTTGTGGGAGAGCTTTTTCCCTTGAAAGGAAAATAGAAAGTCGAGGTTCTCAGGAAACTAAATGTTTACCACACTGAATGAGTTTTCTGTACTTATACAGAATGACACAAATACATCTAGTCTTGGATAACCCTTTTCCATGACAGAGCCAGACATTTTGGAAGCACTGGAAAACAGCAGCTGTCAAATGTGATAAAATCATAGCAAAGGGAAAGGACCGCATTAAATCCTGTCTCTCACCAGCGGGATTTCCTTAGACCTTGTAAATGAGCCATCTTGATTCTCCTTAAGAAGTTTCTCCAAGAAAGGAAATTCTACAACTTAAGGAGAATTTGTTCCATTGTGTAACTATTCTTCTAATTTGAGCTTCCTGGATCCCCTGCTCCCTGCCCCTGCCCCTTCTCTGGTAAACAGATACTCTCAGTAGAAATTACTTATTATGCACTTACATAGCGCACATAGAGAGCAATCTTAACCATGTCTACTGATAAGTAGATCCCATTAAGCTCAATGTGGCTTAAATAAGGACTGTTGCCAGGCAGTGGTTTTTCCAATCACCCAGTGAACTGGAACCCAGATTGTCTGTAACCAACTTTAACGCTCTACACCAGGCATTCCAGATGCAGTGCTTGGCAGCCCCAGGCACATCCAAAGGCACCTACAAACAGGTGCCATGGATAACAGGGATTTTAAAAATATATCTTAACATGTTTTACTTTTCAAAAAATATAGATCGGTTTGTATAAAATCCATACATCATTCTAGCTATTATATATAGGCTTTAACAAAAGTGGACCACATATCCAAATAACCATTTGAAGTTGGCATCTATAGTCCATGTGTTCATAACTTGAAAGCACTGTAAGGACCTCAGTTACAGGAAGTGAGTGTCTGTCATTCCAGTGTTGTAATACCACCAATGTTGTAAATGGGAATCCATTTACCCTTCCATTTAATTTCCATGGAGCAGGTAAAAAATTTAAAAGAACATGTATATCAGTGATTATTAAATACTCTTCCAGTGCAAAAAAAAAATCAAATTCTGGACAAACTTATGTTTAAAGGAATTAATTAGCTTTAATGCAGCAATTAGCCGAATTAAAACAGTCATTTATTAAATAGACATAGTGGAGCCCTACAAGCATGAAACAAAGTTTTTGCTGAGTAAGAGACAGCACAAGATGGATAGATGTGACAAGTAAACAGAAAAGCAACAATCCCCTGATGGAGCATTTTGTGGTGGTGCACACAGCAGTTTCTCAAATTCCCAAATGTGCCCATGGGCCCAAACAGAGCAGGACTCCAGCTCTACACAAGACACCATATCTTAATTCAGAGCAGACTGATCTTTTGTTACATAGAAGTAAGCCCCATCAGTTCAATGATAACAGGGCCAAAACAGATTTTACATGCAAAGAAGTTACATACTATTTTCCAGCTCTGCATTATTCCCGACCAATGCTCCTTTTTCGAAGGCAAAGGGGCAACAATGAGCTACAAATTCAACCGTGAATGCCTACCAAGTGTCCGTAGTGTTATGGGCTGATTATTTACATTTCATGAGAAACATGAGTTTTCATTAATTTGGCCAGCTTCTTCCCTATATTGTTCTATTATATAACAGTATATATGTGTATGCATTTGAATTTAGGGTATACATAGATTTTAGTTTCATTTTGCTTTAGCTTTCTCTGCATTTTAGAATGTGAGAAAATATTCACTCATTTTGGCAATACATAACCCATTATATAGAAGGGATCCTAATCTCAAAAAACAACAGTACAAATGGATATGACAGACAGACAGACAGACAGACGGAGAGATGCCAGACCAAGGGAAGAAACCAAAGGAAAAGCAAGCGAGTTTGGGCGAGCAATAGTAGTGGATCCTGCACTCCATAGTATGTAACAGAATCCACTCGGAGCTCTAGTGAAGGGCATCAATTATACCACTGCGGCTAATTAGAAAATCCCTTTATAACTTGTTTATGCCTATGTAAAAACAGATGTGCTACCTTGCTGGGAGTTTTACTTCAAGGTCGTTTCTAGATGGAGAGCACTGCATGGCTGTTCCAACCTTTCCTCATTAACAAAAGGACTTTTGGGGGAAGGGGGGGGGGTAAGAAGATAGACAAAAGAAACAGTGGAAAAACACAGGAAGGCTACAAAAAGAAGGCAATGATGTTTGGATTTTCCATAAACTTCTGTGATCCAGGCAGTGCAATTGTAACAGAAAAGCCTAATCTGGGGACACTGTTAAGACAGGCACCTTTCAAGAGAAAGTTGAAGCTATCCACATGATAGAATGAATCAGAGTAGTTTTCTTAGTCACACTCCACGGATCTATGCTAACCTTGGATTTAGCATTGCTCCTGACCAGAATCTTGAATGCAAATAAGGCCGTCCCACTGTCCATTCAGGACACCCAGTGATTAATTCCCAATCTAAGGCAGACTCACAGGAAACTGGCAGCATAGGAATCTGAGAGGTTGGTGAGGCCTCCTTCAGAGCTGGCCCCAATGCCCTCCAGCCAAATCCTTTTTCCAGGCACATGTGTACTGACAACCTGTTGCCAAAAGAAAAGGTTAAGTGTGGTCAGCGATCTACAGTAAGCAACCAGTACCCACAGAATGGTATGGCTTTGGACAGCATATAGGGAATGTCTGGTTTTGTATGGTCACAGAGTGTGGAAAGCACAGTGAATCCTTGATGGAGAACACCTCCAGCTAAAATTAAGCTTCTCAAGACCACCCATTTCCTGATATTAAACTTCTTCATTAATCCCCCACTGCCTGGAGCTGCACTGATCTTACCATCCTTGAACATACAGTTTTTTGCTGATTCCCAGTCTGTTCACATGTGATTCCCTTCCCCTTTATATGCACAACAAATTAAAACAAAAACAAAATCCTCACTATTGGAAGAAAAGGCTGCCCATCCCTTAAGAGCCCCATCTTCTTACAAAGGCAGATATTATGCATCCAAGTGACTGACTGGAGAAATAGGCCACATCTAGCTCAGTTTTGTACTGGGAGATGAGGGAAGACATTTTTTTTTCCATCTTCTTCTTCCAAACTACATCACAGTAGGCAGCAAATCTGCAAATTGCCCTCCATCTCAGTATGTAAGAATTAACCATTTTAATTCTGACATGGCAACTACCTTACGTGTAGGTGTGCACACCGAGGACTGCCTAATATGAAACAGAGTGCTTTGCACACTATGTTTTTAACATGTACACATAATCATATAACATGAGCATATAGCAAACATATCTTCCACAGTTTATATGATACAAGTACATACACTGCAGAGCAAGGATAAATTGCATTTCCTCACACATCTTCATATGCAATGTGTGACACTGTCTTGAGTGAACTAAAGTTATAACAATAAGCACATGAGAAGATGCTGGTTAGACCTGTTCATGTGGTCAAATAGCCAATCTACTTAGGTGTAGAAGGCCTAACTCTCCCATAAGCCAGGGCAGGATTCCAATATTTGAGCTACTCATGAACCACTGGGAAAAGGCACTACATTGGCAGCAAAAAGGAAGCAACTTTTCATGAAGTCATAATCATTCCACAGCCCACAAGAGAAATCATGGTTCCAGACATACATTAGCATTATGTTAGTTTTGGAGTAGCCAATCCTTTCCTACAAGATGTTGAGTTTCCTGAGCACCTGAGGGGGTAAAATGGAGGTATGAGCATGGCATCAGAGTTCCCAGCCTGGGAAATGCCATCATAGCACAAGACAAACATTGGCAGCACAGGCATGCCCAGGACACAACGGCGCCAGCAAACAAAAGCACATCAGTAAGCACAAGGGCTGAGGATGCCAGCTTACAGCCCCTTTTGCCTCTGCACCGGAGAGTTGACACTGTGCCTGAAAGATCTGGCCACTTGCCAGACGTGGCTTCATTTACCTGAAGGCAGCATGGTATAGCAATAAAGTGAGGGAAAAGGGAGAAAGGGGCTCTTTGTTTTAATTAGTGTCACTTGGTCTCATATTTGTGTAGGGAATCTTGGAGCCCTCTAACAAAAGAACTCATTTCTTATTAGGACCTGCCTAATAACCCAGCAGAAAATCATGCCCCAGATCAAACTGAAAAGTCAGCTTCTTTTGAAATACATTGTTTCTGATGAGTCAATAAGAGAGGGAGCATCATGGAAAACACAGCCAAGCATGATGAGCTCCATAGGAAAGATGTCGTTTTCCATGGTATGCAATAGCCAAGGGAAAAGCACTACCTCATTTTGCCATTGGTCTCCCAAAGCCTATTCCCCTAGTCCCTGCATCTGCAGTGCAGAGAGTGCCATGCTTTGCCATATGCTGTGGCACTTTTCACTCCACAGTTGTCATCCCCAAGTGGTCCTATGGGACAGGCCTTAATCCACAGGGCTTTCCTGAGTTTCTCCACAGCTACATCCCCAGCCTTCCTTAGCGCAACCAAAAGGCTGGAATCCTAGGAGAGTACGAAGGTCAACCCTGAAGAGAACCCCAGCTGAGCCTACCTAGCACTGGGCACAGTGAGCCCAGCCTCGGCACTCTGGAGCACCTGGAAGTTCCCCCCCTTGAAGACATGTTGCCCTCTTGCCCCAGTCACCCCCTCACTCACGCACTTTCTGGATTTTCCTGATCTGGTCAGAGAGTGTGTCTAACAGGCGTGTTTTCAGGAAGTCCGTCACCTTGGCCACTCGGCCATCAAGGTAGTAACTGGAATGAAAACGAGAAGGCAACAGTCAGAGAGGGGCCACAGCTATGTGCTCTCCCTCGCCCTGGCTAAGGACCGCGCCTCTGATGTCCACATTTAATTTGCTTCCTCTTTTGCCTATGGTCAGCTGCTACTGGTGACCTTTTTGATGCTGCCCAAGGTGATGGCACTTGTAGTCCAACACATCTGGAGGGCACCATAATGGGGAGGGTTGGTCTAGCACCACAGCTAGTGTTAAATAAATAATACTAAGGAAAATATTATTAATGATAAATCAACAAGATGTGGAAGCCATCCTAGTCCCCCTCTTGCCTATCTAGGCAAGCCTATCTGGTCAGATTAATAAATCAAATGATGGTCCTAGTATAAATATGCTGTTATAACTAATCTTATAATCCCGTTCAGGGACAAAACAAGACATGTGAAAGAAAAGGCAATTAACAATTTTCCCCTGGGCAGTGAGTCTCTGATTACCAACTGCTAGAGAATAATAGCAGAAAAGGGGTAATGCCTTCATATCTTTCTTGTGGATTTTTCAGAAGCAACTGGTTGGCCACTATGGCAAACAGGATGGTAGGTTAGGTAGACCTTTGGTCTGACCTACCAGAGCTTATCTTATATTAACACAACATAGAAATCCAGAAAAAACACCTGAACAAATTTTTCAGAAGTCATGCATTGACAACATACAGCTCTCAATCATTACTGTTATCCATTAGATACTCTTGAGCTACCCTAGGAAACAATATGTCAGTGTAACCCACCATTCTGCAACTTGGTACCTCCAGATGTTAATGACTTTGACTCTTTCGGCACAGCCAGTGGTTGAAAATGCTGAAAGAGCTGTAGTCCACACCATCTGGAGGACACCTTCTTGATAAAGTTGATATAATAAAACAATAGATAGAGGGCAAAGAAAACTAAATTCATTGCAGAGGCAGGCTATTGTCAGAATCATCATGCCAACAGAGGGTAGTGGCTGGAAATACGATGGGTGGATTTAACCACTGGATTAGGTATGTTCTTCATAAGATAGGAAAATAGGCTAGAAAGTACTGATTCCAAGTTTTCTTCCTCAAAGAATCAGTTGTTTTCAGTGCTTCCATTTGCTTTTCTCTGTTGCTCCTTCGTCTGTGATGGAGAAATAACATTTTATGTGTGGTTTTTTGAGACAGAGAAAGCAGAATTTCCCTGTCATGAAGTGGGTTCCCAGAGATCTCTAAATGCTACAAGCTGCCTGCGATTAAATTGAAAATCTCTGTGGCTCCTCTGCATGTGTTTCAGCAGGCGGGTGGAAGGAATCAGCAGTGAAAATGTAGAGCCATTGGGTTAAAATAATGAAGCTACATGCACAGCACATGTAGGCTTGAAGCGTTTGCTATCACAGCTGGTAGTGAAGTGGGAAGTGTTATTTGGACAAATATGGTGGGAACTGGGCCGTATGTCTGACTGGTGTAGTTACTATGAGGTTTGGGGTTAGGAAATTATTAATAAAGAAGTTATTTAAACTTTGGCACAAACCCCAGTGGGCCATGCTCCTTGCCAAAAGCAGTAGTTCACAGCTCAATCAGGCCTGTGAGCAAAATAAATAGCATTTCTCTGAACAATCAGGAAAGTTTTTTAATTAGGTTTAGAGATAATGGAAAAGTATCCTTTTATTAGTGTCAGTCAAACAGGAAAATGATTCCTGTGTTCTTAATGGGATGGATTCAGATTTACTCATACCGAGCATGGACCCACTGAAATCAGTGCAGCTTAAGTTAGTCACAACTAATTCCGATTATAGGAGAATAGGAAGCTGCCTTCTACAAAGTTGGACCATGTGTTCATCTAGCCCAGCGGTCCTCAAACGTTTTGAACAGGGGATCAGTTGAAAGGTGCTGGCAATGGGCATGGGCCGCCTAGGCGGTGTGGGCAGAGGGTGCAGGCTGGGGTGGGGGGCATGGGCCAGAGTGGCAAGGCAGGCGCAAGTGTGCGCAGAGAGTGTTTTCTCCAAGTGAGTCCGAAACGATCTCCTTGCAAGCAAGCCAGCGCCTCACCATGCGGCGGCTTGCCCATGAGGAGATCCTTTTCTCTGAGCAAGTCCAAAACGATCTCCTTGCGAACAAGGCAGCACCTCATCGTGTGTGCGCGCACGCGGCGAGTCCAGAACCTCTATGGCGGGCCGTATCCGGCCTGTGGGCCGTAGTTTGAGAACCCATGATCTAGTCTGTTATTGTCAATGGTGATAGGCAGCAACTAGGGTATCAGGTAGAGATTTTTTCAGCCCTACTTGGAGCTGTGAGGAATTGAACCTGAGGCCTTCTACATGCCAAGCATATGCTCTACCACTCAGCAACAGTTCTTCCTGTCTATGCCCCACTGATTTCAATGGGTCTCTTCTGCATAAGACTAAGTTTGGTTCCATCCCATTATATTTTACTGCATTCCAGTTCCTAGGTTGCTCTTTGCTTATTTTCTTCCTGAAATGGTTTATTTCATTTTCATTCTAGGTGTATAGGATTATAGAACTGCAACCATACTAACAGAGTGCTTTTACCTTAATGCTCAAAACATTCACTTGCATTATGTTGTTAATTATCTCCACATAGCTGAAGGTGCAGGGAGATGTGAGAAAGTTGAGATATACAGTAGCAAATCTAAAGTTATCTACTGAGACTAGCACTAGACTGAGATTCAGCCTAGGACTTCTGAGTCAGACTTCATGCTTTTAACCTCCACACTTAGTAAGACTAGCCATCTAACTGCACATTCTAAATATGACTATAAGAAATCAACACTCACAAGGCCAGACATACATGCTTAGATGAATCTATAGGACAATATTGGGCAAATTCTGGCCTTCCTGATGTTGGACTGCAACTACCATTATCACTCACAACATATGGAGGTCCATAAATTATTAATCCATATTTTAAGGAAACATGAAGAATTGACAGGGTCTTGGAACATACTATCAGGGATTCCAAGTATTGGACAGGGCTTATCTAAGATAATTTGGTGTCTGAAGTGCAAGTTCCAAACGGGACTTCCTTTGACTAATTAACACTGGCCCAATCCACCAGGCAGTTATCCCACACAAGGGAAAAGAAGCCAGATGCATAGCTACAAGGTGCAGGATGCTTCACTCAACAATACTGTAACCGAGAAGGATCTGGGAACTGTTGTAGATCACAAGCTGAATAATAGGCAACAAAGTGATACAGCTGCAAAAAAAAGGCAAATGCTACTTTGGATTTCCAAACCATCTGAAGTTCTAGTTCCTCTGCTCAGCACTGGTTGCACTTCATCTGGAGTACTACATCCAACTCTGGGCACCACAGTTTAAGAAAGATGGCAGACAAACTGGAAAGGATTTAGAGGAATGCAAAAAGGACAATCTAGGGACTGGAAACAAGAATGATCTAGGGACCGGTTCTATGGAGAAAGACTGGAAGGATTGGTCATGTTTTGCTTCAAGAAGAGAAGACTGAGGGAGATCTGACAGTAGTCATCAAATACTTGAAGGGCTGTCACACTGAGGAAAGCCAGGAGTTCTTCTCAATTATCCTAGCATATAGAACATGAAAAAAATGATTTCAAGTTCCAAGAAGTCAGATTCTGGCTGAGCATCAGGGGGGAAAAGCAATATGACTATGGAACCTTTTACCTAGGGAGGCTGTGGGCTCTCCCACACTGAATAGCCATCTGTTAAGGATGCTTTAAGTCTATGTCCTACATTGATCAGGGTCTGATAGCCTTATCTGGCCCCTTTCAACTCTATTATTCTATGAACTGCTGTACCAAAAGCCAGTCCACCCTGTGCTTTCCACCTACCAGCATGCACAAGGCCAACCTGCACCACCATGGAAAGAACAAAATCCAAGCCAGTACTGCGTATTAGGGATGCCAGCTCCATCTCGCACTGTGCAGAACTATGAAGGCTTCTACGCTATTTTAAGACAGGATCCACAATTAGCCTCAGATGGGATTTAATGAGCAGAGTTTGATGGCTTCAAAGCAGCTGTTTTTGTTTTATTTCCTCTTTATTGTAGAGGAACCTTTGCCCCATTATCTGACCCCTTCTTCAGTTAATTGCATTAAAGCCACTTTCCAACACTCAGGAATTTCTAAATCCATCCTGCTCCAGGAAAGTCTGCTTAGAATTATAGTGCCATCACCTTCCCTCACCCCACCCACTGTCAGGTGAAGAGGACAGGCACTTTCCAGAGCTGCAACTAGACTAGGTATTATTTCTGTGGTCAGAGATACAGGTTGCTCGAACACCAGCCTTTCCCCTTTCCTGATACTGACACCATTCGCTCATACATTTATTCCTAAAACTCCAGGCAATGTTCCCTGTGAACCACTTTTTTCCTTAGGTGCCATCTCAGATGCCTACACTTCTGGATTGTAGCAACATTTGGAGCTTGTATTTCAACTGCAGTACAACCATCTGAGGTTATTGGACTATTTCACCTACTCTGGAGGACTGATTCACAATGTGGCTGGTGATGGCTTGCGACTGTGCCCTTATGTATTACCTGCCTATTCCTTGGGTTTTATGTCTTCTACCGCTTATCACCAATGACAAGCTACAATATGCACCACCTTCAATGCAGTCTAATACCCATTTGTTACTTCTGTTTTTCCTATTCATAATTTTTAAATAAGCAAATGTTTTCTTTGCTCCACTAGTACAGTACAACACCCTGACCAATGCTGAACAAATATGTTACATATGTCTTGTCCGTAAACTGAAAGCTAAGCAAGATGTGTGATAGCAACAGTATCCCATATAACAAAGCAAAACTCCTGTCCCATCATCTAATTCCTGTTATAGCCAGGGGCTTTTATATGAAGGGACTTTCATGGTGCATGCAACAGAGCATCCAAGAGGATATTGTAGAGTTGTGCTCTCAGTAATCTAAGTCTCATTTGAAACCATGAACTCTTGTTATTTCAAACTGCATCTCATTTTCTGAGAACACAACTCTGTGATATCTTCTGGGAAACTACATGCACCAGAATTCTGCTTTCAGAATTCAGAAACACAGTCCAGAATTCAGAACCATAGTCCAAGTTATTGCAGCAACAACAGGGCATTTCTACAATATCTAGACTCTTAGGAGCAGAAGACTGAGAAGACACTGTGCACCAATGAAGGCAATGAAACTATGGGACCACTTTCAGGTACTTGAGGATGAGACTGGTCGGCAGCATGCAGTAGAAGAACTACAAGTTGCTTGGCAACACTGGGCAAGAAGCTGAAGGTTCACCAAATGGTGGCAGTGATACCAAGATCAACAAGAACAAGAAGAGAAGGGTGTTAGTTGTGGGAGGTTCCCTGTTACATGAGATGGAAACATTCCTTCTTATCCATGAGAGAATAAATAGCACTGCCACACAGAGCTTTGAGGAAATCATGCTAGAAGCTTTGGGGAGGAAAGTCAAGAATTCTGGGGTCCAGACAGTTTTCTCTTCCATCCTTCCAGTTCTTGGAAGAAGAATAGACAGGGAAAGAAATATACTGACTCCACCAGACTTAGTGTTTGTCTGTTGCCCAAATTGCTTTGTCATGTGGTTAGTAAGTGGGAGGGAAAAAAGAAAAAATACTCACTGTTGCCAGGTAACAGCATCTACTGTATTCCCTGCCACTTTCATGAACCTGTGAGATGCAGAAAATAAGTGAGATTCTGGGCATGAAAAGAGTCCACATCTGCACACATATCCCACATATACACTCCCACACCACCCTCAGTAAGTCCAAGTATGACACACAGCTCCTCTTTTATCCATTGCCACATCTGCACTAAGTCATGGCTCTATCGTCAGAGTCATTTTAAGGAAGTGACTCTAACACAGCTAACATTCATATTTATTGCAGTTCTAATCTGAAAGCATGTTCTTTGGGAAGTGAAGAGTCTACTGCAAACTGGTCCCAGTAGTGAAGTTCTCTGGACTGGATGGTTGAAAGTCCTGCAGGTATTCAGGCACCAGTGCACTATCTTCCATTTTGAAATCTGTGTTTTACCCTAACCGTTTAGTGACACTACTGTTCCCCAAAAGCTGAGGCTCTAGAGAATGGCTAAATCTGAACCTTCCAAGAATGAAACACTCTCCTCTCCTAAAGTGCCTGTTTCCTTTAAAGCTATGCAAAGATAATATCTCCTCCTACCAGGCAAGGCAGTTAAACATGTTCCAATGTTCTCCATAACCATGAAAACAGGGAAAAACAGCAAGGGAAAGCTGTGATTCTGAAGAACTGGAATTCTGTGCCGCTCATGTGATTGACAAAAGGGAAGTGACTGGCCCAGCAAATGAGTGGTGATGCATGAGTACCCACCGCCATCTCCCACCCAAAGATTTCTTTAAAAAGAAATCTGTATTTCTTTAAAAAGCAACACTGTGGGGGGATGCGGTCACAGACCTCCCATGCTACGTGTGCCTTGCTCCCAGCTCTGTTTCATGGTGTGTGCAAGATATTTTCAGCACAAATAGTGTAAGTGCCTTCAGTTTATTCAATTACTGTAAGGAAACTGACATTCAGGCCTTTCCATGTAGGCTACTATCTAGAGCTATTGGCCTTCAAGCGTTAAAAGATGCCTCATCTCCCTGACTACCTTCAGGGAGACAGACTGAACAGTTCTTCCTTTAGCAGCCTCATCTATGCCTGGAATATGGTATAATTATTCAGTCAGCTAAAGTAACTCCCAGCTCCTCGCTGTGTGCAAAAGAGTAAAGGGTAGTGAGATAATGAGCAGGTCATGATGGGCTGCCAATGTGCTTCAGTGCCGATTTGTGCATGCCTTGTTCTTCATATTCACATCCGTTCTGAGCATGGAGTAAAGTGAAACTAATATGCAATTCTTTACTTCTAAATTTAAATTGTGAAGAATTTCACCTATGTGCCGGCCCACCCCTTGAGATCAGAGGCAGAGGCCCTTCTCTGGGAACCCTCTTTGAAGGAAATCAGGAGGGCAGTTCCTCGGAGAAGGGCCTTTTCACAGGTGGTGCCCTGACGCTCCCCAGGAATGGAATATGCTCCCCAGGGAGGGTCGCCTGGCACCATTGCTCTATTCCTTTCTGCGCCAGGCAAAGACCTTTTTCATTTTCCCACTATTTTAATAATTAACTGGTTTTATCTTTGTTTTTATTACTATTTTAGATTCAGTGAATCTTTTTTTAAAAAAAGATGTGTGTTGTTGTTGTTATGGGTTCTGTTTTTTTAGTTTGCTCTTTGTAAGCCACCTAGAGACTTTTTTAGTAATGGGACAGCATACAAAAACCTTAAATAAATAAATAAATTTCAGCCTGAACAAGTTTAAAAAACTATTATTTCAATGTAGCCAGCTATCCTTCTGAACTTAGACCAGTTGGTTTTCTCTTTTTTTCAAAAGCAAAAGAGAATCATGTTTCTTTTCTTGATTGCAGTGTTTTTACATCATGTACCCTCAACCAATTTTGTGTACATTACAGAATATTGCATGATACAGCAAATGAAATATTTGTTAAATAAATAAGTAAAGCTACTGTATTTTCCATTCAACCCATACCTGACAGCATTAGCTTCCATCAGTGTGGTACAGTTCAACAGAAAATTCTTTTTGCTTTAGACTAAATGCAGTCAGTTTCTGCATATTTTTTTCATCTCCTGCGTACAAACTTTTTATCACTTTTAACCTCATCCCACATAGTGAGGTGGGTCACAGTCTATAATTTACACATGAGTGGTCAAACCAACTTTTTCCTTTATGGCATTGTCACAAAGTGCCTGGACTAAAACACCCCCAAATTTCAGCTTCCTGACTTTTATTTTTTAAATAAAAGAAAAATCGTGGGGTGACAAAGTTATTCCAGAAGCTCTATAGGAATTACTGGACAGAGTAACTTGGTGACACCAAGCAAACGAAGGCCCCTTGAAAGAAGGCACAAGTAAGGTTGATATTCAGATCCTCTTGGTCTCATTTAAAAGTTGATTTTCTAAGCAAAAACCTCCAGCAAACAGAATGAAAATCCTTCCAAGGGTTGCCATTCTACAATTGGTTAAAGTTAGTGGTCAAACCATTTTTAGGCAAAGAGAAATCAACGAGCCTACTATCCTTAAGCAGATTTTCTCAGCTTGCATAGTTTCAGGAAGAGTTGTTGTTGTTAGTAGTGAAGTCGCTTCAGTCCGACCCATCTCCACCCCATGGACAACATTCCTCCAGGCCTTCCTGTCCTCCACCATCCCCCGGAGTCCACCTAAGCTACCCCAACTGCTTCAGTGACTCCATCTAGCCACCTCGTTCTCTGCCGCCCCCTCCTTCTTTTGCCATCTATTGTTCCCAGCATTAGGCTCTTCTCCAGTGAGTCCTTCCTTCTCATTAGGTGGCCAAAGTACTTGAGTTTCATCTTCAGCAGGGTGATGTCTCTGCTTTTTAATATGCTGTCTAGATTTGCCATAGCTTTCCTACCAAGGAGCAAGTGTCTTTTAATTTCTTGGCTGCAGTCCCTGTCTGCAGTGATCTTGGAGCCCAGGAAAATAAAATCTGTCACTACCTCCATCTCTTCCCCATCCATTTAAGAGGAAGTGATAGGACCAGATGCCATGATCTTAGTTTTCTTAATGTTGAGTTTCAAGCCAACTTTTGTGCTCTCCTCCTTCACCTGCATCAAGAGGCTCTTTACTTCCTCTTCACTTTCTGCCATTAGAGTGGTATCATCTGCATATCAGAGGTTGTTGATTTTTCTCCCAGCAATCTTAATTCCAACTTGTGATTCATCTAGGCCCGCCTTTCTCATAATGTGCTCTGCATATAAGTTAAATAGGCAGGGTGACAGTTTACAGCCTTGCCAAACTCCTTTCTCAATTTTGAGCCAATCAGTGGTTCTGTGTCCAGTTCTCACTGTTGCTTCTTGACCTGCATATAGGTTTCTCAAGAGACAAATAAGATGGTCTGGTACTCCCATCTCTTTAAGAACTTGCCACAATTTGTTGTGATCCACACAAGCAAAGGCTTTAGCATAGTCAATGAAGCAGAAGTAGATGTTTTTCTGGAACTCCCTAGCTTTCTCCATGATCCAGAATATGTTGGCAATTTGATCTCTAGTTCCTCTCCCTCTTCGAAATCCTGCCTGTACTTCTGGTGGTTCTCGGTCCACATACTGCTGGAGCCTTGCTTGTAGGAATTTGAGCATCACTTTGCTAGCATGTGAAATGAGTGCAATGGTGTGGTAGTTTGAACATTTTTTGGCATTGCCTTTCTTTGGGATCGGAATGTAAACTGACCTTTTCCAATCCTGCGGCCACTGCTGAGTTTTCCAAATTTCCTGGCATATTGAGTGTAGCAATTTTATTGCATCATCTTTTAGGATTTTGAATAGCTCAGCTGGAATACTGTCACCTCCACTAGCTTTGTTGTTGCTTAGACTTCCTAAGGCCCATTTGACTTCACATTCCAGGATGTCTGGCTCAAGGTCAGTGACCACCCCACCGTGGTTATCAGGGACGTTAAGCTCTTTCTTGTATAGTTCCTCTGTGTAATCTTGCCACCTCTTCTTAATCTCTTCTGCCTCTGTTAGGTCCCTGCCATTTTGGTCCTTTATCATGCCCATTTTGTTCCCTTCTTATCTCCAATTTTCTTGAAGAGATCTCTGGTCCTCCCTAGTCTATTGTTTTCTTCTATTTCTTTGGTCATTTAAGAAGGCATTCTTATCTCTTCTAGCTATTATCTGGAATTCTGCTTCATTTGGGTGACATCTTTCTCTTTCTCCCTTGCCTTTCACTTCCCTTCTTTCCTCAGATATTTGTAAAGCTTCCTCAGACAGCCATTTTGCTTTCTTGCATTTCTTTTTCTTTGGGACAGTTTTATTTGCTGCCTCTTGTACAATGTAGCGAACCTGAACCTCCATCCATAGTTCTTCAGGCACTCTGCCTATCAGATTCTTAGGCTGATTGCAACTTCTTGAAGGAAAGGACTAGCTAGAACAAAGGAGGTTTTTTTTAGGATTTTGCATTTTTATTGCATCTGTCACTTTCTCTTGCAGGTATAGACAGCCCAGGAGAGAGTCCTTTTTTAGCTGTTTTGGGTTTTTGTTTGTTTTTGAGAAGGGATGAGGGTTAAAACTCTACTTTGAACCTTACTATCTTCATCAAAGGCTGTCATAGTATGGACACATCATGGAAAGGCAAGATTTACTGAAGAAGACAATCGTGTTAGGCAAAGTCAAAGGGAGAAGACTAAAGGGAATACTAAATATGAGATGGATTGAATCCATAAAGGAAGGCACAGCCCTGAACTTGGAAGAGCTGAATGGAGCTGTCATGGACAGGACATTTTGGAGGGCTTTCATTCATACAGTTGCCATAGGTTGAAGACAACTTGACGGCACATAACAACATATTGCTCTACATTTGATGCCAAAATCAAGAAGGAAGACTGTTCTAGCAGAGACTAAAGCAAGTCAGGTAACATAGTCCTGATACTCCTGGAAATTTAAATTGCTTGTGTGGATACAACACAGCCTGGCATTGTTCTGATATTTATTTATTAATTATATTTATATCCCACAATTTTTCTTCCCAGGAAAAATTTTCATTCTCTGTCTTATCCTCACAGCAACAGTCCTGTGTATAGATTGGGCTGTGACCCGTGAGCTCCATGGCTGACTGGGAACTAGAACCCA